CTCTAGCCAGACACCTCATCATTAACCTGAAACAGGAAGTATATGAATGCAGATAAGCAAGGATTTATTGACCATATCACCATGTACCCCAAGTCAAGAAATCAAGAAAACCCAGGGCTTCCCTGGTGGCGCAGTGGTTGAGAGTCCGCCTGCCGATGCAGGGGACATGGGTTCGTGCCCCGGTCCGGGAGGATCCCACATGCCGCGGAGTGGCTAGGCCTGTGAGCCATGGCCGCTAAGCCTGCGCGTCCGGAGCCTGTGCTCTGCAACGGGAGAGGTCACAGCAGTGAGAGGCCCGCGTACCACAAAAAAAAAAAAAGAAAGAAAGAAAACCCAGAAAAATACTGATAAACAACACAAACAGAAACCAAAGACCTCAATATAAGGGAAGATGAAGAAGAACAGAAATTTGTAAAGGATAATAGTACCACATCTTGGAATGGTTAAGAATCAAAATTCTTGAAAGAGAGATGCAAATGCTAAGGGAAATTCTAACTGAGGCTTCAAATTCAAAACATTAAACTACCTCAGCCGAATCTAAAAGTAGGGAAGAGAGTGAGGCGAGAAAGGATTGAAAAATGTTCCAAAGGTCTCAGGAAGAGGGAGGAGAGTTGGGAAGGTCAGCAGGTCATCGGAAGATTCATTTGGGCAGATCACTGCGGAGTTTCCATTCTGTGTGAAGTAGCTGGTACTCAAGGTCATATATCTGAACACAGCTATTAATTGCCTTAAGACTGGACTCCACAACCTCATTTCACATATACAACCCTGACTCTTGACTGCTATGTTTCTCTCCCATGAGAAAGCCCAGGAAGTTAGCAAGTGTGTGAGGGCCCCAGCTCTGCAACTGAACAGCTGCCCGGATGTGGCACAGTCATATTTATGGGCTGAGCGGCCTGAGTGTCAAATTTACGGGCCGAGCAACTGATGTGCAAATTCTCCGCAAGGAGTCCAAAGTAAAACAAGGGAAGACAAAAGCTGTCACATATCCTCTCCAATATTCCTTTCCCCCAGCGTTTCGACATTTTGCTGCGCTGGGTGTTTTGGGTTCGTGTGATTCTGCACACTGGGAACTCGGGATATTTTACATGAGGGTAGCTGGATTGTTTGGGGCAGGAAAGAATGAGGGGCATTGAAATCGGCTGCCATTAGGTAAGGGACCAAAAGCTGAGAGGAGCTTCTCTGAGATCACTCAAGCTGGCATTCCTGTGTCCTCCCAGCCTGCAAGTCCAAAGGCACAGAGCTCAGCCTCATTTGCAAAGAATAACCATTATATGGTCAGGCGGGAGGGGGGGTGGGACTTTTCTTGTTTTGTTTTGTGTGGTTAGGGATTATTAGTGAAAAAGAAATGTTTGCAGTCACGTGGACAAAAACAGCTGCTGTGGACATCTGCGTTCATGGAAACTGATTTTTGTTACACAAAACATCTCCTCCTGATAACATGGATTGCAGTGAGATTCTAGATAGTTCTTCCTTACAAAAAGAGGCTTATTGTTTCCTGTAGTAATTATATGTGTTCACTGCAGAGAAAATGAGAGCAATTCAGAAAGGAACAAAGCATATTTTAAGACGCCAAGATAGAACCACAGTTTGATGATTATCCTTCTCGATAAATGGTTCTCAATGTAGATCTACACTTAATTGAAAACAAATTAAATCTTGCCATACACACTATTCTGTAGTTTGGTTTTATTCACTCAATATCACATCTTGGAGAGGCTTCTGTCACTTACATATAGACCTACGTCACCGCTTTAATGGCTTCATAGTGCTCTGTAACTTCTACGCGTCACAGTTTCCTTACCGGGATGTTTCTTTTTTGTAACATTACATTCATGGAGTGTTGGTAAATGCTAAGCAAAGAACATGTCTGTCCAGGCTGGCGGGAGACTCTGAGGAAGTGTGGCTTCAGGAGGAAATGGGGGTTGCGGCGGAGTCTCTGATCCTGTCTTCAAGGAATATCACGCTGGTAGCTCAGAAGCTCCATCTTCAGCCGGAATGTCAGAGCCACCAGGAGGAGCTAGTGACCACAGCTCAGCACATCCTGGTAGACACCACGAAGGTGAGGCTGATGTCAGAGCTGGCTGGCCCGTTGGTCTGGACAGAGAGCTCATTGCTGGGAAGCATGGACGGGGCATGTCATTCCCACAAGGGATGCCCACCCCAGAGAGAGAAACCTGCCCAAGTTTATGCCAAGATCGCAGAGTTCATTACCAATTTAATAAATGCTCATTGTGGAAGCTGCCATAGGGAGCTGGGTAGACGTACTGAGTCTCTGTTCTTAAACCCACATGCAACCCCTGATCCCCACACTTGGCCACCAAACCGTAATGATGAGGGATGCATTTCCCACCCTACCTATGGCCAGGACCTACCTGGGGAGAAGCTACCAAAACCTGCGCAACTCTCAGCCTATTTGGCTAACTTGCTGTATTGCCTTACACCTGGGAGGATCTCAGGGGCCAGGGTAACCCCTCAGCCTCCAAATACTCCCCATTCTCCATCCTGACATTCCACCATCTGTCACAACTCTTTTAGCTCGGTACATCGCTCCCTGTTACAACGTTATATGCCTCAACTATTATCAAATATTAATATATTAATAATGTTCATCATTTAAACTTTAATACTGTGGGTTATTGGGAGGGGGTGTAGTTGTAACTTAACAGATCCTCATTAAAGAAAGATTGAAATGGGGAGATGAGAGAGGCACAGCCAGAGGGCTTTGGCACCTGCTGCTGGGAGGAGGAGAGGGGAAGAAGGGCAGGCTCTTGGAAGTGGTTGGGTACCAGCTCTGTTGAAGGGGATGAACAGAGCAGTCAGGGGGCGACAGAGTCAGACCAGGAAAGATTTCTTAGAGGCACTTCTTGGACAGGCCATCTCGCCAGCCCCCATCATCCTCATGCAAACAGTAAGTGCTTCCTAAACACTCTTCCGTTCGTGATGTGTTGGTTACCACGTGGACGGTTGACTGCTCCTCCTGTAATGTGAAGAGAAGGGCTCTTCAAAGCCAGATTGGACCCCACATTAAATGTAGCTCAATTTAGAGGGGCTTACATTTTCAGTTAAGCCAAATGTTTTCCTTAAACGTCACTCTTAGGTGACATCGTCATCATTATTATTACTATTATTATCTCTGAGATTCTCTTTAGTCTTTTGGAGGACCTTTATTTGCACAATGGGGGTAAAGCAGCTGCCGTTGCTTTCGCTTCGGCTCCAGAAACGTGTAGGCATTTTCCAGCTTCTCTTCCCCCGATTGCCCTAACAGGTCCTGTTGCTGGAAGACGCGGCAACGGCGAGGAAGATGGTGCGAGCGGCGGGCTGGTGCCTGACTTGCCTGGACGCTCTGGAAGCGGCGGGCGACGCGGCCTCGCTGCGCGGCCCCTTCGCCGACCTGGCGGTGGCGCTGCAGAGCCTGGGCGGCCTGACTGCGCGCGGATCCGAGGAGCGCCTGGGCCGGGCCAGCCGCCTGCTGCGGGGCTGCGTCCCTGTGCTGCTTGTGGCCGCCCGCGGCCACCTCCGGCGTCCCCGCGACCCGCGGCTGGCCGCCTCCCGGCGCCACGTCTTCGCTCTGGCCAGGAAGACCTTGGGCGAGCTCCTAGGGCGCCTGGAGCCCGGCGCCGCCCCAGCGGCCCGCGCCCCGCACGGCGCGCTCCCTCGGAGCCTGCGGCAGCTGCGGGAGCTGCTGGCGGCGCCCGGACCCGAGCGGCTGCGCGGCGGGCTGGACGCGCCGCTGGCGGCCGTGGTCTGGCACTGCATGCGCCTGGCCGCCTGCTCCCCGCCGCCCGAGCGCCTGCGCCTAGTGGCCCGTTGCCGCCGGCTGCTGGAGCTGCGGAGCGCCGGCGTCCGGCGCCTGGACCCGATTGACGGGCCTCCGGGGACGGGCGGAAACAGCCAGGAGCCGGGGGAGGAGTGCGCAGCGCTGTGGGCCGCGACTGAGGACCTCTCCCAGGGGGTCCGCAGCGGGCTGCTGCGCCAGATCCTGGACACGTTCACCGACACGCAAAGCCCTCTTCAAAGGCTGGTCCGGGCCGCCTTGGCCACTCCCTCAGTCTCCTCCCGGTGCGATGGCGAGGCCTTGCCTGAGAGCCTCCAGCTTCTCCTCGCTGCTTTCCACGACCAGGCCAACCGGATGCTCAGAGTGGCTCACTTGGTCTTGGTTTGCTGCCCACGACAGCAAACTGGCGAAGACATGGAGGCCACCATGGCAGGCCTTTGGGGGCTCGTGGTCAGAGTGCGACAGCTTTTCTCACCAAGCCCCCAAGGGTCTGGTCTGGACTGGAGCCCTGCTGCCCTGCAGGCCCTGCTTCGGGAGTGGGCCAGGGCATCTGAAGGCTTATTAGCATGTTTTGATGATGTTCTCGATATTCCTGAGTTCCTGAGTGTGTCCATTCAGGAAATGACCAAGCACTTGGACTTTTTTACATGGGCTTTGAGGTGTGGAGATTCCAGAGAGTTTGCTCCACTTGTGGCATATTTACAGGGTCGAGGGACACACATAGTGCAGGTGATGAGCAGGTATGTGGACCAAGATCGAGATCCTATTTTCCGGAATGGCCTGAGAGTCTTGATCCAGCAGCTGGAGCAATCCTCCCGGGTCCTGGGTGAGGCTGGGGAGCACTGTTCAGGCGGGCACAGCTCTCAGGACACAGATGCGCTATTAACCTTGGCGAAACGTGTGATCTCTTCAGCTCAGAGCATCCGAGAGGGGCTGGATGGAACTAACCACCCAGATATCCTCAGTCCCCTTCGGGACCAAGTCCAGAGGTTTGACATGGCTGAGAGACAGCCTTATTTCATTCTCTCCAGCCTCCAGGATTGCACAGCTCCCGCACTGAAACACCAAAGGGAGTCTGGGTTGAGGAAAAGCGACCAGGGCACCTCCTATCCACCTAGGGATCATCTTTTTTGCCCCTTGATTTTTGACACCGGTCTACAGAAGGTGGGCTCTCCACTCTCTGCCATCAGCAAACCCATGCTTGCTGTAGACAGCCTGAGCCACCAGGGAGTGACCTCAGCTCACACCATCCTGCAGGACCAGGATGCAGCTGTGGAGGCAGCTCAGGAGGCCCTGGCTGGAGAGGGACCACTGGGGTCAGAGACGATGACTGGACTCCAAGAAATCCCATCACTGGCACCTTCTATTATTGACCTAGCAAGGGAGATAGAACATTGCACAACTGCTAGAACGGACAGGCTTCTGGAAGTGGCTCTCCAACTGTCTGGGAAGTCCAGGGAAACCAGGCAAAGTTTGGTAGCCATAGCTGGTGACTGGTATTCTCTGTGTCAACAGCTGTTTTGCAACAACCCAGCAGCTGATCTTCAAGAGAACATGACAGTGTTCATGGAGCTTCAGCAGAACTTAGCCTCAATGGTTCAACTAGCAGTCAAAAGTGGACCCATGGATTCGGGTAAGAAGGATTCTGACTCAGCTGGGCACCCAGAAGCGCATTTACAAGTGCAAGGCAGATTGGAGGAGGCGGAGACCCATGCCAAACAGCTTTTGGACAAAGTTCTGGCCTCTGATGGTTTCCAAGCCCCCAGGTCGTGGGAGGAGAGCATTGAGGATGGGTGCCTTCTATGGTCAGTGGCTGTGCAAGACCTGCTCCAGTGCCTGGAGAGGCTCAGCGGGAGACAAGGCCTGTTCCTACTGCCCCTGCGACAGGCTGTGAAGGACCAGCAGGGGCTGCAGGAAGGGTTGGCTCAGGCAGCAGATGTTTCTCAAAGGCTCCAAGAGGCTGCTAGGCTGTCTTCTCTTCTGTGTGGGGATGAGCAGGTAAAGAGTGAGATCTCCTTTCTGTGCAGGGAGGTTCATGTGCTCACAGATGCTCTGCTGGATGTGGCACAGATCCTAGCCTCCTTCCCCAAACCATCTCCCAGCCTGTCCACCCGCTTTGAACTTCTCTGCTTGGAGCTCACCCTTCAAGCCAAGGCCCTGACTGGCCACCTCAGCAGCATCAATGCAGACTATGAACGTGTCCTCCAAGGTGCCTTCTGCCCGAGGCTCTCTGTGTGCAAAGACCCCCAGACCCAGCCAGAAGGCTCTCTGGAAAGAATGGTGTCTGGTATCCAAGCTGTGCAGGGAATTGTGGCTGGAGGTCAGGAGTCTGGGCCCTGCCAGGAAGACCTTCTCATGGCTCTGGAGAGCATTCTCGTCCTCACCAAGGAGGTAGCCCAGCGGGTCCCTGTGCTCCGAGAATGCCCAGAGGACTGGCTTCAGCAGGAGTGGGCAGCCAAGGCCCACCATGCTGTGGCCCAGCTCCAGGCCTGGAAAGGTGGTCACACCAAGGCTTGGAGACTCCTGGCCCAGTGCTTGAAGCCCAGTGATGAAGAGGACCCCACCCAGCCCCAGCTCCACCGTGGGGAGGGTGCACCAGGAGCCGCTGAAGCCAGCAGTGTAGATTCTCAGCGTGCTGCTCCAAGAGACACCGCAGGGAGCTCAGTGGGGACCCGCACTCTGGATCCAGGCATCACCGGGACAGCCGCAGACCTGGGCACGGTAGGCATCACCGGGACAGCCACAGACCTGGGCACGGTAGGCATCACCGGGACAGCCGCAGACCTGGGCACGGTAGGAAAGTCAGCATCCCTCCTTCTCCCCCACCTTAGCCTTCTTTCTGGTCACCAAAGCCCCCCGTCAAGTTCCAGAAAAAGCTCTCTTGGTGCCCACGTGTGTCATTCATATCTGGCAGGCAGCACAGGGCACCCTTTGAGAATCCAAGGTCAGGAACCACACTGCCTGCACTGTGTCTGCCTCTACCATTTCCAAGTTCTGAGACCTCAGAGAAGTTTCTTAGCTATTTTGGACTTTAAGATCCTAGTCTAGAAAATGGGAACATTGATACCTTCCTGGCAGAGGGTTGATGAAAGCATCCATGGAAAATACTTGCACTTGCCTGGAACATAATTAGTACGCTGTGGTAGGGCCTGTAATGATTGACTTCCCTGAAGTTTTTCCCACGGCCCCATCTGGAGGGGGTTCCCCTTGCTGTGACTGACAGCACTCCTCCTGTGGATCCGGCTACTTCATGCCACCTTGACCTCCACGATGTTACCTCCCTGCTCCAGTCAGGGTTTCTTTGGTTTGCAAGTGGCCGGAGTCCAACTTGAATCCTCGTAGGCAAAAAGAAAGATCTACCGGAAGGCTTCTGGGTCTGTTGAACACCTTCCACGTATAGTCGTTTCCTTCTGGGGCACCAGCCAATGTCAGGGATTGTGGAGCCCAAACATTTGATTTACTTAACATCGACCGTGGGAGATATAATAGGTTGGCAGTGACCGCCCAAGAAGTTCCCAGGTAGATGTGCTCAGCCCAGCGTTTTGTGCATAACCTGATCTGTCCCCTTCGTGACCTTATGCTTGGCTGCCCAGACTTCCCCCCCAAACCTTTCCCTGGGCTTTCTCCCAAGATAAAGTGGACCAGACAATGTGTTTCTCCGCCCCATTACCCTTTACTTCATCTTTCTCATTAAAATGTTATTACCATGAGAAAGGCCCTGTTCCCAGATTCGCTGGGAGCCCGGCAGGCACAGTTCCCTTGCCCCTGCAGCCTAAGCCCTCTTTGCTCTGCCTCCCGCTGTCTTCTCATCTCTCCTGTTCTGTGGCTCCTGGTCTCATGAGTTCGGACATCCTGCCAGCTCCCCCGATCTGTTTTTCCACAGGGTCTTTCTGACACATACTTAATGCCGCTGACTTCCCTGACAACACATTCTGTTTCTCTCTCAGTTCAGCTGACACAGTCCCTTTCTCAGCAAAAGCTCCCGACACGAGCATTTCAGAGAACTGACTGCCCAGGTCAGCTGGCACCCGGAATGGTGAGAAGAGCAGGCTCATTCAGCCCCCATCACCCCTCCTGTCCGCGAAGGGGTGTCACCTCTCCTGTTGCAGGCTGCTTTCCTCTGGGTGGAGAGCAAGGCCTCACATTCCAAGGTTCCTATCCCTGGGAAGCATTCTCCTTCATACACATAATTCCAGTGCATAGAAGGGGACAGTGGGGACAGTGGTCCTGCTGGGCTACTCCCGGGTGGGAGGGCAATTGGAGAGGGGAGAATCACCATCCATGGTGTGTGTCTGCTCCACTGTCCCACTCCCTGGGGCTCCTGGGAGGGTGGAGACACCCTCCACACAGCCCAGAACAGCACCTCAAACTGTGAGCCCCTGAGGGAGGGCATGGCCTTGGGAAGGTGCATCTTTTGGGCACTTGTAAGTCACTATCTGGAAATTCTTTATTCCAGTTATGGGCTCTCCAGCAGAGTCCTAGCCTCCTTCATTACTGAAGAGCCTGGAGACACTGCTAGCTTTGGATGTTGAAGGTCCCCGACAGTTGAATACGAGGCATGAGTTGAAAAGAATATTTCCTAGTTGCCTATCCCTTGGCTCAAGGCCCACCAAATCCCACATTTGCCATTTTCACCCTTTTTAGTCACTATGGTTGAGTCTTAGTCTCAGTTGAGTTCTCACCTTTCTCTTCACGTCATATAATCCCGGGCCCCGTCTGGGCAGCCTGCTGGCCCTCAGTGTGTTGGTCCTTCGCCAGAAAAGGCTCCGACTTGCCCCTCCCAGCAGTCAGGGGGCATCCCAACCTGTCTAAAACGAGGCCAACAAACAGTTTTCAGAAGGTGGGGGATTATTTAATTGCAGACATAATACAAAAAAAGCCAGGTGACTTCTCAATATGCACTAGCACAGAAAGTCTAAACTCTCAGCCGCTGAAGTTCAAGGACTTCATTTTACTCATCTTTAGATCCTTCAGGACAAGCACGGTGTCTGGGGCATCGCAGGTGCATGGTAAGTGATTTAGATTGCTTGCTGGGATGCTAAAGGCAGCCTAGAAGGGCAGAAGGGGTACAAATTTGGGGCAAAATGGTAATGGGAGGGATAAAGCAGATATTCTAGATGTCTCCTGAGAGGAGGGTGGTCTTGAGTTGAGCTTCAGAGGCAGTTTGGGATTTGTATTTGCCAGGGAAGAGAGGAAGGACATTGCAGGCAATAGGAGCTCTGAAGTGAACTTGGTTTGCAAGTGGCTACGAGCCCGGGGGGCGCATACCTGTGCTCAGATGTGCTCCCAACATGGAAGTGAATACTTTATGGCTGGAGAGGAAAACAGCCTGCAGTTAAGCCTTCACTATGGATGCCCTGTTCCACCTCCAGCCACCCACCTGGCTGGTTGCTGTTCTCGGCATCTGGACAACTTCTGAGTCAGACCCACATGATCAGGGCTTTCCCCACACGCTTGGCGGCTGTGGCCTCTGCTTGCTCCTGGGCCAAGCTTGGGGCCAAGCACCACGATGTGGAGCACCCACACCCCAGGGCAGCTCACTTAGATCCCAGCCTCCACGGTCTCCTGGTCCCAGACTCACATACGTCCCGTCCCCTTGTCTGTCACTTGGCAACCGCTCGCTTAAACACCCACCTGAGCTCTAGAGCTACAGCCAAATGATGTGATTCATCCAACCCCTTCCTTGGATCATTGGTCTCCTGATTCCACATCTTTAGCCCAGCACCCTTCCTGCGTGCTCGGCAGTGAGTGAAGCATGACAAAGACTGGACAGTGGCCAACAAGGTGGGGGTGGAAGGGACACATGCCTGGAGCAGTTATCCTTTGATTTCCATTCCTCTCCTGGTGAAATATTTGCTACATATATAGCCTCAGACCAAACAGGATCGTGAACTTATATCTCCCAATTTAGATAGAATTTGCTATCACACTCATACTTCCAACAGCTACGTTATGACCCTTCTGAGACATCAGTATGCTACGTTGGGGTCTTGGGGGAGAAGTCAGGGTGTAGGAAGGCCCAGAGGTTCCTCCCACCCATGTTCTCCTTCCCACCTGCACCCAGGGCACAGGCCCTACCCCCAGGAGCTCAGGATCTGGTGCGTGAGGCCAAGAGATGATCAAGGCCACTCTTGACACTTTGTTATTGGGTTTACCTTCAAGGGCAGTACACCTGGTCTCGATTCCAGAGTCTGGAAAAGGCTTAGCGGAGGCCTCATTTAGGGTCCAAAGAAGAATAACATGGTCTCGCCCACTTCTGGTTGGCAGAAGCTGCTGTTTTTCTCACTAGAAAATAATAAGCAAGTTAATGGGGGAAAAATAATTATTCATACCAGAACTGTAAAGTCCTTTCACATGGAATAATTGATATGAAACTGTCCCAAAGTAGGGACATTCAAGTATTCCCGAATTTCTTCAAGGAGCTAGAGATTCTCCCAGGTAAGCCCTGAAAATTCACCAAAGGAAAGAAAATGTGATATTTTAACTATACTGGGGATCTGAGTCTGCCCGGTTGCAGTTTATGCAAATTCTGGGTGAAAGGAGCACAGAGCAATAGGGATTCATTGTTTCCTCTTCTCACTTTTTTTTAGGTATTTGGAGGAGATTGTCAAGAACTGCTGGCATGTGGGGATCAGGAAACCCTCTTGATTCCCACTCTTCTTTTAAAAATGCTGAAGAAGCCATTAACATCCCCACTGCAGTTAAAAGATCTGAGCGTCTTGAATTTCATCAGTTCCACCCTGTCTTCTTACAGCACCAGCATAGCGGCACCCCTGGCAGCTTCCCTGGCTGTCCAGCCTGGCCGCACACTGAGGTGGACCTGCCTCTCCCAGAGGATGGCAGCGTGAACAGTGGGAACAGAATCACCCAGGTTACCCAGGAGATGGCCAAGGAGGTGTTCCTGATGGCGCAGAGTCTGAGGAGGAGAGGATGCATCCTGGTACTTGACCTTCAGTGGGTGGTGGGAGGATTGGGCACCACGGGGGGAAACGGGTCTCCCAGCTGCTGCCCTGCAGGAGCCAGGACAGAGGGGCCACGAGCAGGGGCCATCGGGCACATAGCATTTTTCGGTGCTGTCTTCTCTCTCCATCTGGGCGTATCCTAGAGCTCACTTCATTTTTCTCTTCCCGCCTCCTGTGGGCTCATTACTAAGGCTTTGTCTTAATCCATCGGGGAAGATAATTTACCGGAAGCTGCAGTTTAGTCAAATCAAGACCCATTCCTATCCCAGAGGATGAACTGAAGGGAGCCATTTACGTCTTTAAAAATTCCCCAAAATAGAGGTAACAGGGCTGCAAGCTCCTGAAGGATGGCCATTCAGGGCCAGCACAGCCTGGACAGGATGGGGGCTACTTTCCACTGGCTTTGGGGTGGGGGCAGCTTCAACCACAGGTCACCTCTTCTGATTCTCTTTAGCCATCTCCTTGATTCAATGCGGTTAAGCATCACTTACCATCCACACACACATCAACACTGAAAAAAATAAAAGAAGTCCATTTACTGAGTGTGGGGACCAGAGGAAGAGATCGAAAGGCACCGAGAGCCATTTAGAAAATGTCTCCTAGCGCAGGCCTGCTGGGTACTCGTGGCCTCCACACCCGTGGCTGGGCCACACGCGGTAGAGGAGCGGGGCCCAGAGAGAAGGTTGGATGTCAGGGCACCTCCAGACGAGGTGACTGCAAAGCCCTGCCCAGCAGCCCTACCACACCCAAGACTCAGGCCTTTCATTGGCCTCTTCTTTCTCCCAACCCATGTCCACTTCAGTTAGTTTCTCACTGGAACAGTTACCCCAAGGTCATTAGGTCAAAAGTGGGAGCCGTTACCACTTCTTGCTGACTTCCGTTTTCCTTCCAAACATCTCAGATATTCTAATTTATATAGGACTTGGGTGCTGATGGGGCCTTGTGGCTGAGGGCCCAGGAATATGCAAATCCTCCAGCCCGTGCAGTTCCCTGGGGAAATGTGCGCTAAAGGGAAATGACAAAAGGAAAAACAAATGGTGATTTTTAACAGTGAGGCTAGTGCCTGGTAAAATGCAGTGACTATGCAGAATTTCCCCCCGAAACCTCCAAATCTCGACCTTAATACCAAGCAGATTTTAACAACCAAAGTCCCTGGTACTCTTGAGTAAAACAGAGAAAAGAGTTTAAAATGGCTGGTTGGGGGGGTAACAGGCAGCACAGGCATGGGGGCAGAGCAGTAATCTTGAGTCAACCGTATTAGCAACTCTTCAGCCCTGAGGCTGGGGGCAGAATTGGAGGAAGCAGGGAGGAAGATGGGGAGAGTGGATGAAGGTTTCCCTTGGAGAGGCAGAAAAGGTAAGCATCTCCTTTCCTGGCAGAGGTCTACAAAAGATTATTCTCACGTGGTTTGAGTTTCCTCTGGCACCTTTGAGACCTAGGTTATGAGTTCTGGAATATTCCAGCTTGACCTCCTCAGTTGAGCCCTCCCCCTTCACACATGGAGATGTTCTTACTAAAGACTTTCCAGCATCACGACCTTCATCAGCACTGTCTGTGTGCCAGCAGAGAACGATAGCCATTCCTCACGTCATTATCTAGGTCAGGGAAACTGTCGCAGTAATGTGTACAAAATAAAATACCCACAGGAAAAAAGAGGGGTTCTCTCACCCTCCTCCCTCCTATTTCTTTAGTATTCCTTTTCATTCTTATCCTAAAGACCAGTAATTCTGAAATCAGGTCATCAAACCCACATTTGGTACAGGGAGAGAGCTGACAGATGCAGAGCTTGCCTAAACCCAAGCCTTATCCAAAGAGAAGTAAAGTACATATTTTAGGACTCATTTGCTAACTGGGGTGGCATATCATAAAGCAAAAACAAATTCTCGAGGGTGTGAGGACTCACGTCTTCTCCTGGGACATCATAAAGAAGTGTGCTGCCTTGGATGTTTGGAATGGGGCTTGGTTTAGGGTTGCAACGTCAGTTTTTGGGGTTTTTTTTTGCAGTACGCGGGCCTCTCACTGTTGTGGCCTCTCCCGTTGCGGAGCACAGGCTCCGGACGCGCAGACTCAGTGGCCATGGCTCACGGGCCCAGCCGCTCCGCAGCATGTGGGATCCTCCCGGACCAGGGCACGAACCCGTGTCCCCTGCATCGACAGGCGGACTCTCAACCACTGTGCCACCAGGGAAGCCCACAATGTCAGTTTTTTAAAAAGAAGGAGCAACAGAGTGTCAAATGACCTGGCACAGATTTGGCTAATTTAGGACTGGCTGCTTGAGTTCTGTGTTTCAAAAAGGCTGTCCCATTTGAAAGGGAGGTTTCTCGGACTGGTCTGCTGTGGAGCTTGGAATTGCTTGAATTAGGCATTGGACACATCTGTACCCACTCCTTTCTTATCTGGAATTGCAAATACCTCTAATAAACTAAGCCTCTAACATAGGTTTTTTAGGATTGTTTTCTTCCTTACAGGAGAAGCTGAGACAGCATGATACATGCAGGAGAGGGACCCAGAAGTGGCTCCCCACCAGGGCTGGCCATTATGAAAAGAATGGGGCAGACAAAATTAAGTTCTGTCCCTTAAGTTAATGTCCATCCTCATGGAATTTAGAGGCCCCTCAACAGGGCAGGTACAATAAAGAGTCTGACTCCATTTTTAATGTTTGCTGACAGCTTTCAAGCCCCAACCACTCCTCCTTCTTCCCCTTGTGCTCCACATCTGGGCAAGCCAAAAGGTCCAGGCACAGTCTCCTTTGGTGCTAGTGGGAAGCTCAAACCACACAAGCCCTGACTGTTGAGTGGAAACTCCCACCCTGGCCCCATTCCCTGACCACAACAAAAGCCAGGCCGGTCTCCTTTCCTTGTTCTCTGAAGCCTTTTCAGACCTGGTTAGGAAAAGGCTTCTGTCACCAACCCATTAATTATCAGTTCCCAACTGGGAAGCTCTACATATGGCTATAGGCCTTTGACCTTTTGGTCAAGCCAAGACCTCCTTCAACCTGCACGTTCCTCACACCTGGCCCTTCTTAGGGGCCTTATCTCTGCCCCGGGGCTGCTGAAAACTCTCTCTGAGCCACTGCAGGCCACAGCTCCTGTGCAGAACATCTAGCCCAAGACCAGGAGGCTGGGCCACCTTCCCTTCAGCAGTCCCCACGGACAGATGGGCCTGGACCACCTCATTCTGTGGTTTTAAAGAGAATAAGCTTCTTGCTAACCTAGAGTGTCTGGTCTTGAAGCCTCTGGAGGAGGTTCGGGACATCACAGTTTTAGACCAAGCCACAATATGTTCATTCCGGGGCTGGAATAAGTTAAGCAAGTTTGGGATGTTTACCATTTGCCACTGAATTCTTAGAGAAAACTTGCGGATGCGTTGTTCACCTACTGCCAACTCTTTCATTTCTTTTGGTATAGACCAAAGAACAGCTCATTACCTCTGCCAGGAAAATTGCGACTTCCGGACAAAACTTCGCCAGACTTATCCGCATCATTGCTAAGAACTGTGTAGACCAAAGATGTTCCCAGGAGCTTCTGTACATGGTAGAGCAGATTCAGACAATGAGCAGCCAGCTCCGCATCATCTCCAGGTGGGAAATGGCTTTGAAGGGAAGTTGCTGTCTTCTTTCTCGAGACCCAAAGGGAGGGCTTGGAAGGGGGAATATAATTCCTTCTTTTGGATACTCCTTTTAATGTTTTTTATCCTCCAAGAATCTACATTTATTTGAGGAATATCAAATGTTAAAAATATAGAGTGTAACTACAGAGCACAAAAAACACATTTAGGCTACTGTCATTTCTCACTGTTTCACAAACATATCTGATAATATACTTAAGAAAGAAAAAATATTTAACATGGAAAACTAGTTCCTGAGTAGGTGTGAGGATAAAGTAACCATAAGGATTTTTTTTTTAATTTTTTTCTATTTTTTTGGCGGCGTTGCATGGCAGGTGGTATCTTAGTTCCCCGACCAGGGATCGACCCTGTGCCCCCCACAGTGGAAGCATGGAGTCCTTAAGTCCCCATAAGGATTAAGAATCAAATACATCAGAACTCAGGCACTCCTTCAACATCGGTCCCTCCTCCCTTCATAACAGTGACTCCAGTGGTGCTGCTGGGCTCACAACACTTCAGGGTTACTATACAAGCACAGATGACTGATCTCTACTTTACAATCGTGTTTACATTTTCACCATTAGCTCTCTATTGGTTTTTATACGAATCATAGCTAACAAACAAGCTGGTTATCTCTAAAAATACACTAATTGAAAAGTGAAAGCATTTTAAACATCATTTGCCTAAGAAAAACTATGCCAGCACAAGGCTTATGTTAAGATTAATTCATTTAATGTGCCCCATGAATTAATCTTAACATAAGCCTTGTGCTGGAGTTGAACAGTTTTTGGTCATTGTCTCCATATAACAGTTTTCACATTGATAATATAGAACACCAGAATAGAAGTATAGGATGGTTTCATTTCCACCCAAGTCCCTTAATACCTTCAGTGGCATATTCATCAGTAACAAACGTTTATTAGTAATATATTATGGGAAAGCTTGGTAGTTAAGACTATTATCAATTATTGTGAGGCATAAAAATAACATCGCCAAGACCAGGGTATATAAATTGTTTTTAAACTAAACACAAAGCCTGGTTACTGTTCTCTAGGAAATAATATTTCAGGCACAAAATCATGTCACAATTAGCTACCAGATTTTTTCTACTTAAGATACAGGAACTGTAATTAATTTTAGCATTTCAAATATGGGTATTGCTGTAAGGGTACTCCGGATTTGTTTAAATCAGGTATAGTAGGACATGCAAACATGGATGTGACAAGGAAGAAGGAAGAAAACAAGGAAGACAATCCCTCACGGACCCTTAGAAACAGGAACCATGTCGGTAGGACCACATAGGGAAGCACCAGGGTCAGTCAAAAAGCAGAAGGAGTGAGGGGAAAGCATGGACAAATCCTTTACTGTGTTTTCGTGGGAAGGAATGGACAAGTCAGGGGAAGTAGGCTAAACAGGTTTAGGATTGGTTAATTTGAATTTGGGCTCTGGAGTATAGAGATTATCTCTAGCTGTCTGGCACCTGGCCCTGGGGTGATTAGGGCAGGGGAATAGTGGCCCAGAGTATAAGAGCGCTATAAAGGAGAAGGTTGGGGGTGTGAACTTCGGATTGGTTGGTTTGCATGTATAAGTGCACTTGCAGGCAAGTGGTTTACTCTAAGAATTGGCTAACCCTGGGAGGGGCAGTCTTTCCAACATCAGATGGCCCTAAGATAGTGCATCAGAAACACAGAAAATAAAAAGGCATGATTAATACAGGTACATTTATCAAGTTCCCAGTTCTCTAAAGGATCTGGAAGTCCTGAGATTTTACCAAAGTTAGTCACTTAAGTTTCACAGCATCTTCATTTTCTTTTTAATTTTAATTTTTATTGAAGTATAGTTGATTTACAATGTTGTGTTAGCTTCGGGTGTACAGCAAAGTGATTCAGTTTTATCTAAATCAATCTATCTATTCTCTTTATTTTAAATCAATTTATTTATTTTTGGCTGCTTTGGGTCTTCGTTGCTGCGCACGGGCTTTCTCTAGTTGCGACGAGCGGGGGCTACTCTTTGTTGTGGTGCACGGGCTTCTCATTGCAGTGGCTTCTCTTGTTGCAGAGCATGGGCTCTAGGTGCGCAGGCTTCAGTAGTTGTGGCACGCAGGCTTAGAGCACAGGCTCAGTAGTTGTGGTGCACAGGCTTAGCTGCTCTGCAGCATATGGGATCTTCCCAGACCAGGGATTGAATGTATGTCCCCTGCATTGGCAGGCGGATTCTTAACCACTGTGCCACCAGGGAAGTCCTATCTATCTATTCCTTTTCATATTCTTTTCCACTATAGGTTATCACAAGATATCAAACACAGTTTCCTGTGTTATACAGTAGGTCCTTGTTGTTTATCTATTTTATGTATAGCATCTTCATTTTCATTGGTGAAAAACAACTTGTCTCACTAAATTCAGTTACACTCAGTTTAAAGCAAGTATCATTGAGGTGTGTGATTCAATTAAGAAATAGCAGTCTGATCTTTGATTAGAACTTTTACTTTAAGTCCTGAATGCAATTCTAGACAAAATTTCTTGTTCCCTTTCATTAGGTATGGATGTTGGCATTTATTCTGCTAGGTCTCTTCAGTTATTTTCATTAAAAAGACTTCTTAGCAGACTCACGGATATACAGAACAAAATAATGGTTACCAGTGGGGAGAGGGTAGTGGGGAGAGGTAATATAAAGGTAGGGGATTAAGAGGTACAAACTATCATGTATAAAATGAGCTGCAAGGATATATTGTGCAACATGGGGAATATAACCAATATTTTATAATAACTATAAATGGAGTATAAACTTTAAAAACTGTAAATCAGTATATCGTACACATGTAACATATAATATTGCGCATCAACTATACTTCAATAAAATTTTTTTAAAAACATACTTCTTGTTAATTTATAGATTCTATATGAGTCATACTTTCTTAGTATCAAAATATAAATTTTATGTTAAAATGTTAAATTATACCTTAAGAACTTTCTTTCTCTGAATAGTCCCTACAAAGGCATCCCAGCTTTCTGGAAGAGGCTCACGTTGTAAAACCATCTGGTATTTGTTTATTTGAGATTATGCCTCTTACCTGGTATAATGTTAACTGCTTTCCTCCTGTCAACTCCCAAGAGTAAAGGCCTCCTTGGCAAGAAGCAAGTCCTCTGAAGAGCTCCTGGTGGAAAATGCACAGCGGCTCCTCCGTGCTGCCTCTAAGACTGTGAGGGCTGCAGAAGCCGCCAGTCTGCGGGTAAGTGCTAATCCCAAGGGTGGACACTGGCACAGACATGCACAGGACCATGACTCAGGTCACAGGCTGAGAGCAACATTGCAGACATTCATGAGGCAACTCTACCTGCTTCTTAGCTATTAAATTCAACTGCATTTCTTACCCAAACCTGTCACCTGATTTCTTGTGCATTTTAGTTTGGTTAATTTCTATCAACCTACCTTCAATTCCACTGATTCTTTCTTCAGCTGTGTCCAATCTGCTGATGAGCCTGTCAAAGCATTCCTCAATCTGTTACCACGTTTTTTCTTATTTTTAGCATCTCTGTTTATTTCTCATAGTTTTTGTCTCTCTGCTAAAACTCACCATCTGTTCATGCATTTTGTCTACTTTTTCCACTAAAGTCACTAATATATAAATCATAGTTATTTTTAACTTCCTATCTGATGGTTTCAACATGTGGCTCATATCTGAGTTTGGGTTTCTTTTTTTTTTTTTAGTTATTTTATTTTTGGCTGCATTGTGTCTTTGTTGCTGCGTGCGGGCTTTCTCTAGTTGTGGTGAGTGGGGGCTACTCTTTGTTGCAGTACGCGGGCTTCTCACTGCAGTGGCTTCTCTTGTTGCGGAGCACAGGCTCTAGGTGCACGGGCTTCAGTAGTTGTGACACGTGGGCTCAGTAGTTGTGGCTCGCGGGCTCTAGAGCGCAGGCTCAGTAGTTGTAGTGCATGGGCTTAGCTGGTCCGCGGCATGTGGGATCTTCCCAGACCAGGGCTGGAACCCGTGTCCACTGCATTGGCAGGCGGATTCTTAACCACTGCACCACCAGGGAAGTCCCATGAGTTTGGGTTTTTTGATTGCTTTGTCTCTTGACAGCAGATCCTTCTTCTTCTTTGTGTGTCTTTTAATTTTCCATTGAAAACTTGACATCATGCATAGACTGGCAGAGACTAAATGAATACTATGTATGCCTGAAAATGGGCCCACCTCTTCTTCTAGGCCTTTAGTGTGTGTGCATGGTGGGAGGTGGGGGTGTGAGTCAATATAGTCAGGAGTTGAGCTGAGTTTGGGCGGCATTGTTACAGTCATCCTTGGGTAACCACTGGATTCAAATGTTCTAGCATTACTTTGTGTTCAGTGCGGGGTCTGGGTTACCAGAGGGTTTTCATCAATGTTCCTGTCCCACTGTCAGCCTGAGGCTTTCCTTGTGAGTATGCACCTCAGGGTGTTCTCTCTCAATGTTCTTGCCTCTCCATAGCCTACTTGTTACTTGTGACTCGATGATTGTTGGTCTGGAGAGGAGGTGGTAGTGTTCATTGTTGTTCTCACTCAGCCTCAATTGTAGGCAGGCCCTGTTCCTCCCTCAGCAATAGGAGACTTTCGTTGTGGCCTCTCCCGTTGCGGAGCACAGGCTCCGGACGCACAGGCTCAGCGTCCATGGCTCACGGGCCCAGCCGCTTCGCGGCATGTGGGATCTTCCTGGACCGGGGCACAAACCCGTGTCCCCTGCATCGGCAGGCGGACTCTCAACCACTGCGCCACCAGGGAAGCCCAATAGGAGACTTTTAACAGTTATGGATTCAGGATGGTTTTCTGCTTCTTCCCCCAAGGTAGAGGGCTGTATTCTGTTTTCTTTCTCCGCTTGCAGTGGTCTTGACCTGTGCCCTGGGGATGACAGGATTTACTGTCCTTCCTTCAGTGACTTGAGCTTTTGTGCCATGAAGAGACAGATGTGGGCAGAGATCTGTGCCTTTGTTGCAGTGATGGCTGCTCCTCTTCCCAAAGCCTGCTCCACAAGGGAGACAGTCCCAACCTCCTGCCCTGTCCCAAATCTTTGTCATGAGCGCCACGAGAGGTCCTGGAGAAAGCCTGTGAACAGGTGTGGATTTTTCTTAGTTGTGGCTCTCATGGGTCCTATACACTCACACTCATCTACAATTGGCCACAGCAATTTGTTAAGAATTTTACCTAAAATCTTCTGATCAGGTATATGATAGTCTCATCTTCCTCCCATGCTCTAACCTAAGGAAGCCAGTGCTGGGCCCCTGCCTCTCCCTGAAAGTGGCTGTCTTTTCTTAGATTTCAGTCCAGTGAGTTGCCCTTCAACCTCACTCTCTAATAAGTTCAAGAAAAGTTATGATTTTGTGGATTATCTGACTTTTTCTTGTTGTTAGGGGGGAGCAACTCCTTTTCCAGCTTTCTATGTCCTAAGTGAAGGCAGGAAATGGGAAATATTTGGGTTCCCAAAAGAATACCCTGCCAGGGCCTTCACATGTGCTATTCTACCTGTGTGAGATGCATTTCTGCCCCTCCACTTCTACCAAATTGTCTCATGTCTGTCTCCTTCTTATCTTTTAGGCCCAAACTTAAATTCCACCTCCTCAAAAGGGATGAAATACCCCCCACTATATCTAAATGAAATCGCACCAAGTGTCCCCTGCTTTAGTACCTTGTATGGTTCCTTCGTAGCACTTATCACATTTTGTAGTTGTCTGCTTCTTTTCCTCACTTTTATGTGTTTGTCTGGCTCTGTTATCAGAATGTATACTTCATGAAGCCAGAGACCTAGAATAGTGGGCAAGTGCATGGAGGCACTAAATAAATAGAACGGGAATTTTCATTTCAAGTTTAAAGAAACTTTGTACCGATTAAATTCAAAGAGTACATAAAAGAGACACACCCAGTGAAAAGCATTTGGAAAATGTGCATACTTGAACTACAAGTCCCAGGGTTTCTTGAATATAAAGAAGGCTGAGAGAAAAGCTCAGGACTGGCCCTATGGATCAGTGAGCATCTCTCCCGCCAGCACGCCAGCGTGGCCACAGCCACAGCCTCCCGCAGATCCTGCAGCACCACCCAGGGCAGGGCCAGTCCCCAGGTCCCAATGCCCAGGCCATCTGAGTGCAGGAGAACCTGAGGGCCAGGCTGAGTGCTTGCTGTGTACACCTGTGTCCTGCCTCTGCTTAGGCCGCTGGCTAAAGACCCATGGATAGTTTGCATAAAGCAAAATGAATAAAGCAAGATCCAGGAGGCAGAATTTGGGTTAGAGAGAGATTTTTTTTTTAAATTAACTACAGTCCCAGAACATTCTATCGTGATAGACAAGATCCTTTGTTCTGTTGTGCTTGTCCTTTAAGAATGAGTGGGCTCCAATTCAGAGGACCTCTCCAAACACGATTCCTTGCTCTCTATTCAATTTAGGGCTAAAATATCAGAAAACCAGTCCCAGCATCACTCAGAAGAATCCCCTAGGAGCTCCAATGAGCTGACACTGGGAGAGAGTGCACAGCGCCTCCTAGTACTTAATCATCTCTCTCTCCTCCAGGGTTTGAGACAGCCTTCCCCAGATCCGGAGGAACTGGAAGTTGCTGCCTTCTGCATGCAGTGGAGAAGAAAATTGCGAAGGCACAGACTTCAAGAAACCTCAGACCTCGACTGTGATGAGCTGGGCCTGCGAAAAACAAGCACTAAAGGGCCCCCGACACTCGTGGCCCTGGTTCAAGAAGCATTATAAAAGCTGAGCAGTATTCTCCAAGTCAGACTCTCTGTTGATGTGTGCACTGGCCCTGAGACTCTGGGAGCCCATGGAATGTGCCTTTTAGGCCGAATCAGCCTGTGGGGACACAGGGGGACACGGTGGGTTGGGTGGGTGCAGGGCAGCCAGGGCTGGGCCTTGAACAGAGCTATCCCGACAGTATTCCCAGTCAAGGGGACAGCTCTGGGCCCCTGGTGAGACTGCTGTCTTCCTGGGAAGGATACTTAGCTTTCTGGGTTTAGAAGGAACATCACACATAGACTGGGCAAGGATGGGGTAAAAAACACCCAAGCCCTATTAGCTTAAGCCTATATTAAGATGTTGCAATGTGAAAACAGTCCCAGCACGTTCTACAGGGATCCAGGAACTGAAAGATTTATGGATTAGATTGGTAGTCAGTCAGAGTTCACCTTGCTTGAATAACTTGGCACTGTTCAAATTTTCAAGGTATGAGGAAACTGAAGATGTGCTACTTGGGGATACAGTGCAGGAGCTGCAAGTCTGAAGGCCCTGAGTTGTGATTTGGTGAATCTGGGTTTAGCATCTGGGATGGAGAGGACCAGTTGGGCATTAAGGTCTTGGAGAGTCAGTGGAAATTTTTCAATTCTCAGGATCTTTCACAAAACCTATTTGGTAAAGGAATGAGGAGACCAGTGACCTTCACCTCAGGGGTTGAACTGCATGGGCCAAAAGTGGAGAACTGGGTCTGGAGGAGGGGGATGTAGACAGGGACTGGATACATGATCTCGGAGCAGGGATGCCCTGGGGGCTGGGGCCTTGCTTGTTTGGGGGACATCGTGCCACCCTCTTATATTCTGGTACAGCCCATAGGGAGGAGGGCTGACACTAGATGAGATAGAATTTCCCACAACCCAGTGGGATTGTGGTTCAGATTTACAGTAAATAAAGATAGGGATTTCTTTCCACTTAAAAAAAAAAACAAAACAGAATACAATGTGATGTTTTGCCTTGTATACACCCATTAAATCATCACTACAATTGGGATAATGAATATATGCATCACCTCAAAAGTGTCCTCACTCCCCTCTGGGGTCCCTGGAATGACTGATCTGCTTTGTCACTTAATGATTAATTTGAGGGACTTCCCTGGTGGTCCAGTGGTTAAGACTCTGTGCTCCCAATACAGGGGGCCTGGGTTCGATCCCTGGTCAGGGAACTAAATCTCGCATGCCACAACTAAGAGATCTTGCATACCGCAACAAATATCCCGCACGCAGGAACCAAGATCCCACGTGCCACAACTAAGACCTGGCACAGCCAAATAAATAAATAAATATTTTAAAAATAAATAAATAAAATTTGTCAACCTAACCCGTTTTAAGAAAAAAAAATTAGTTTGATTAGTTATCTGCAAATCAATCAATGTTATACACCACGTTAACAATTAGAATAAAAATCATATGATCATCTCAACAGATGCAGAAAAAGCTTCTGACAAAACTCAACATCCATTTATGATAAAAACTCTCAATGAAGTGTGCATAGAGGGAACATACCTCAACATAATAAAGGCCATATATGACAAGCACATGGCTGTCATTGAAAAATTAATCAGTCAATCTAAGAAAGAAATGGAAGATTTTATTTGAGCCAAATTGAGGATTGTTACCTGGGAACAGCCTCAAGGAAAGTTCTGAGAACTGTTCTGCCCATTAGAGGTCAAAGCACAGTTATGTAAGTTTTTAAGACAGATATTCTAGAATCAGCTTGTCTGTTATCTCCAGAAAATTATGCTGGGGTTTTGACTGGAATTACATTAAATCTATAGATCAGTTTGGAGAAAACTGACATCTTAACTATGTTGAGACTTACAATCCATGAGCACAGTGTATCACTCCAGCATTTTGTAGTTTTTAGCATAAGGTTCCGTGCGTATTTTATATATTAAACCTCAATATTTCACTTTATAGAATTGTTGTAAATGGTACCATTTAAAAAATTTTTGTTTCCAAATTTTATTACTAATATACAGAAATACAACTGATTTTTAAAAATGTTAACCTTGTATCCTGCTACCTTCCTAAACTCACTTATTGCTTCTAGGAGCTTTTTGTAGATTCCTTAGGATTTTCTATGTAGATATAACTGTCATTACTGTAAAGTTTACTTCTTCCTTTTTAATCAGTCTGTCTTTTATTTATTTTCCTTGTCTTATTGTGCTGGCTAGAACTTCCAATATAATGTTGAAGAGAAGGAGTGAGAGTGGACATTCTTGCCTTGTTAGGGGGAAAGCATTCAGTCTTTCACCATTAACTATATTGCTAGCTGTAGGCCTTTTTGGTGAATGTCCTATATCAGGTTAAGAAAGTTCCTTTCTATTGTTATATGTGAGAATTTTTATCATGAGTGGATGTTGAATATTGTAAATACTTTTAATGCATTGCATTAATTAATATAACTACGTGGGGGTTTTAATTTTTGTTTTGTTTTTGTTTGTTAATATGCTAGATTACATCAGTCAACTTTCAAATGTTGAAACAACCTTGCATTCCAAGGATAAACACCACATGGTCATGACGTATTATTCTTTTGATGTATCGTTAGATTCTATTTGCTAGTATGTTTTTGTTGAGGATTCTTGTGTTTGTGCTCATGAGGAACATTGGACTGTAGTTTTTGTTTGTTTCTTTGCACTGTCTTTGGTTTTGGTATTAGTGTAATACTGGCCCCATATAATGATTTGGGAGGTGTTCCCTTCAATTTTCTAGCAAAGAATTGGTGTTATTTCTTTTCTAAATGCTTGATAAAATTCATCAGTGATACTTTATGGGCCTGGTGTTTTCTTTATGGGAAGATTTTAATTAAAATATTATTTTTAAATAGGTATAGGATATTCAAGGTGAATCCTGGTAGTCTGTGGAGTTAACGGAATTGTTTATTTCTTTTAAGGTCAAATTTATTGGCATAAAGTTATTCATAATATATTATTATTCTTTTCCTATCTATAGGATCTGTATTTATGTCACTTCTCTCATTCCTGATATTGGTGATTTGTCTTTACTCTTTTTTTCCTAATAAGCCTCTGTAGAGATTTCTCATCTCAATTTTATTTATTTTTTTATATAACCAGCTCTTGGTTTTGCTGACTTTGTCTTAGATTTATGTTTTCTATTTCATGAATTCCTTCTCTTATCTTTAACATTTATTTTCTTCTGATAACTTTTGGTTTAATTTTCTCTTCTTTTTCAAGTTTCTGAATGTTGATGGTAAGGTCTTTGTTTTGTGGCATTCTTCTTTTCTAATATGGGCATTTACTGCTGTACATTTCTAAGCCTTATTTTTGCTTCATCCCACCAATTTTGATATTTTTTTATTTCTCATTATACATTCTAATTTCCTTTTTAAATTATTTGTTGACCCATGGATTACTTGGAGCTGTGCTATTTAGTTTCAAAATATTTGGGGGAATTTCCAGAGATTTTCTGTTTTGGTTTTGATTTAATTCCTTTGTGGTCAAAAAACATACCTTGTAGTACTTGAATCCTTTTAAATTTATTGAGCCTTGTTTTATGGCCTGGGTTATAGTCTATCTTGATAAATGTTCCATGTACACTAGAAAAGAAAGTGCATTCTGCTGTTGTTAGTTGGAGTACTCTATAAAAACCAATTAGGTCAAGTTGACTGACACTGTTGCTCAAGTATTTGATGTCCTTACTGATTTTCCTTCTACTTGTTCTATCAGTTTTAAGAGTAGGATATTGAAATTTGCAAATGTAATTGTGAATTTGCGTGTTTTATAGTTCTATCAGAGTTGCTTCATTTATTTTAAAGCTCTGTTATTAGGTGCATAAACATTTATATCACTTGGATGAATTAACTCTTTTATCATTAATAAATTAATCTCTTCATTCCTGGCAATGTTATTTGCTCTAAAATTTGATTTTTTAAATATTTCCTAAGCTTTTACTTAACTTACGAACATGTGGGATACCATTCTAATAATTCTTTTAATGTCTTTTTCTCTACAAATTCTTACATCTGTGCCCCTTCTGGGTTGCTTTCAATAGATTCATTTTTCTCCTCATTATGGGCAGTATTTCCTGCTTCTTTGCATGCCTGGTGATTTTTTTTACTGTGTGCCACACATTGTGATTTTGCCTTTTTGGGTGCTGGCTATTTCTGTGTTCCTATAAATATTCTTGAATTTGTTCTGGGAGACAGTTAAGTTACTTGGAAGCAGTTTAATATTTTCTGTCTTGCTTCTAAGATTTGTTAAGTGGGATGAGAGTAGAGTTCAGTCTAAGGTGAAATAATTCCTTCTGAGGCAAGACCCTTCTGTGTACTCTATACAATACTGTGTACTCTATCCAATGTAGATTTTTGAAAAGGCTGTGGGACCTGGGAGTGTGCACCTGTGGCCTCTGATTTGGAACCCCGGTCTGTCCTACACCATAGTGAATATTCAACGAGCTCCTGCTGAGGAACAGACACTGTGTGAGGTCCTGGGGAGATGGAAGCAAATGGGAAGATAGTTCACAGTGCACCTGAGAAGACAAATTTGTAGCTCATTAGAATGGAATGTGATTGATACTATGGGAGCACATAGAGAGACCGATTAGTTCTCTGCAGAACCAACTGGGTCTGGATCTGTGGATCTAGGGGTGTGACAGCCAGAGTCTGGAAGGCACTTGGAAAAGGAGCCTCGATTACAAAGCCAAGGAGTTTGGACCCGTCGTACAGATAAGCAAAGTCCCTGTGGGCTTTTAAGCCAACAAGTGGCGAGGTATTCGCTATGCTTTATGAGAACTGGTTGCCCTGTGGGGGACTTGCTCCTTTGGGGTGATTCAAGTGTGGGATCCAGCACCCCACCCCAACTTGAGCCAGGATGTCTCTGCTTTCATCCATTTTGTAGGCTGGATTTCACATACATTTTTCATTTGAGAAATGTAGGATAGAAACTCCCTGAGGACCAGGTATTTTTGTTCACAAATGAGCCTAGAATTGGCAGAGAAGCTGCTAAATAAATATTTGTTGAATGAGTATGAATGTTTGATACAGAGAATTGATTCAAGTGTTCTGATAGTTTAGACTATTATTCAGCAATTTCTCACCCCACTCCCCTTCCCACTGTGGACAGAGTGTATTTCTCCAGATTAAGATGTTAGTTTTGGCCATGGAACTTGTCTCAGCAATGGAATGTTGTTGATATGATGTGTTAGTTGAAATGTGCTTATATAGTTGGGTTCATCCTTCTGTGCTCTTGCCTTTTGTGATAAGAAGAATGTGCCTTAACTAGACTTATTGTGGTGAACATTTTTCAATTCTTACAAATATCAAATCAATACGTTGTACAACTGTAAGTAATTTAATGTTACATGCCAATTGTACCTCAATAAATTAAAGAAGGAGGAGGAGGAGGAGGAGAAGGAGTAAGAAGAAGAGGAAAAGGAAGAGGGGGAAGAAGAATGAGAATATGCCTTAATTAGCTGCTGGCCAAGGAGAATAAGATGTGGACCTGAACTGCCGCTTGACAAATGTATACACCTTGTAACCACGGTCACACTATAGAATATTTTCCATCATCCCCCAAAGTTCCCTTGTGTTCCTTTACAGTAAAATTTCACCCATCTCTGGGCCCAGGCAACCACTGATCTGTTTTCAGTAACTACAGATTTGTTTTGACTACTCTAAAACTTCACATAAAAGGAATCATATGGTAAGGACTGTTTTGTGTCTGAATTCTTTCATTCAGCACAACCATGTGGCTTTGTGTATCAATAGTTCGTTACTTTTTATCACTGAATAGTATTTCAATTATGGATATAGCATAATATCTTCATCCATTTGCATGCTCATAGCTATCTGGATTCTTTTCAGGTTTTGTTATTTTGGAAAAAAAATGAACGTACGAGATTTTGTGTGGACATGTATTTTTATTTCTCTTGAATAAATACCTAGGAGTGGAATTGCTGCATTGGATAGTAATTATACTCTTACTTAAAAAGAAAACTATGAAATTATTTTCAAAAGTGGTTGTACCATTTTATATTCCCACCACTTGATATTGTCAGTCTTTATAAATTTAGTCATTCTCAAGGGTGTCTAACGGTATGTCACTGTGGTTTTAATTTGCATTTCCTTGTTCACTAATAATATTGAGCACCAAGGGACTTCCCTGGTGGTCCAGTGGTTAAGACTCTGCACTTCCACTGCAGGGAGCACAGGTTCGATCCCTAGTCAGGGAAGTTCCAAGTGCCACATGTGGAATAAATAAATATTTATTTATTTAAATTAAAAAATAAAATAAAATAATAATAATATTGAGCACATTTTCTGGTACTTATTGGCCATTTGTATCGTGTTCTTTCATTGCCCATATTTTTTGGTTAATTTTTATTAACCAGTGAGTTATAACAAAGTTTCTTATATATCTTGTATACAAATCCTTATTGCAAGTATTTTCTCCCAGTCTGGGGCATGCCTGTCTGTGTTCATAAAGATATCTCCTGAAGAGCAGAAATTTAAAATTTTTAGTGAAATCAAATTTACCATTTTTTCTTTTATAATTCACTCTTTTTGTTTTATATCTAAGAAACCTTTGCCTATCCCACGATTGCAAAGATTTTCTATTTTTTTTCTATAAGTGTATATGTAATTTTAGCTTTTACAATTAGGTCTAAGATCCATTTCAACTTACTCTTTGTGTGTGGTGTCAGAAAAGGGTTAAGGTTTATTTATTTATTGCATATGAATATCCAGATGTTCCAGCATAACTTGCTGAAATGACTCTCCTTTCTCCATTGAATTACTTTAGCTTCTTAGTGAAAATCAGTTGGACATATATACATATATGGGTCAACTTCTAGTGTCTCTCTTCTGTTACGCTGGCCTATATGTCCATCCTTAAGGCAATCTGACTCTTGATTATTGTGGATTTATAGTGGCTCTGACAATCCCTGTAGTTTAGGTGGAGTGTTTAGACCATTTACATTTAATGAAATTATTAACAAGGTTTGTTTTCCTCCTTTTTCTCCTCTTTTCCTGCCTTCTTTTGGATTACTTGAACATATTTTTATAATTCCATTTTATCTCCACATTGTTTTATAAGCTGTACTTCCCTGGTGTATTTTATGCTAATTGCTCTGGGGTTTACAATATTCATTGTTAATTTATCAGTCTACTTTTAAATGATATTATACCACTTCATGTACTGTATTATCTCTCTCTCTCAAAAAACAACAACAACAACAAAAACAACCTTCCATTTCCCTCTCCTTTCCCATGTGCCACTGTTGTAACATATATTTTATAAACACCACAATCCACAGTTATAATATTTTCTTTAAATAGTAATTTTTCTTTCAAAGTCTTTAAAAGTCAAAATTTTTAGTATTTTCTTACATATCTACCATTTCTGATGCACCTCATTCCTCATTTATTCCTGCCCAAAGAACTTCCTTTAACATTTCCTATTGTACAGGTCTGATGGCAACAAATTCTCTCAGCTTTTGTTTGTGTGAAACTGTCTTAACTTTTTCCTGATTTGTGAAAGGTATTTTCACTAGTTACCTAATTCTACATTGATAGTTTCCTTTAGTACTTTAAAGATGTCTTTCCATTGTCTTATGGTTCATTTGGATTCTGACAAGAAATTTGCAGTTATTGTTAGGCTTATTTCTCTGTACATAATATGTCTTTTGTTTCTGTCTCTCGAGTTTCCCTTAATCACTGATTTTCAGGAATTTGATTATGTGCCTTGGAGTGTTCTTCTTTGTGTTTATCGTGCTTGAGGTTCATTGAGCTTCTTGCATCTGAACTTATAGCTTTCATCAAATTTTGAAAAGTTTCTACTATCTCTTCAAATATTTTTTTCTGCTACTCCTTCCCCCACCAATCCTCCTCCTGGGAGTCCAATTACATGTATGACAGACTTCTTGGTATTGCTCACAGGTCACTGAAACTCTTGTTCTTTTGTTGTTTTTTTAAATTTATTTTTTCTTTGTGCTCCATTTTGGATACTTCCTATTGCTACATCTTCAAGTACACTAATATTTTCTTTTGTAGTGTCTTATCTCTTTTTAATTGCATGAAGTGAACTTTTTACTTCTGATGTACTTTTCAGCTCTAGAAATTTCATTGTTTTAAAAATTATCTTCCATTTCTCTCCTCAATATGCTAATATTTTTCCCTTAAGTATGTAAACTTATTTATAATAGCTGTTTTTATATCCCTGTCTGCTAATTTCATCATGCTATACTTTCTGGATATGTTTCTATTGACTTACTGTCTCCTAGTAAAAGACAATACTTTCCTGCTTCTTGGCATGTCTACCAATTTTTGGTTGGCTGCGGGACATTGTAGATCTTACGTTGTTGAATGTATGGATTTTACTGTCTCACTTTAAAGAGTGTTGAGCTCTGTTCTGGCAGGCAGTGCAATCACTTGTGGTTTAGTTTTATCCTTCTGAGCCTTATTTTTAAGATTTGTTATATCAGACAAAGAGTAGTCTCTACCTTAGGGATAATTTAAACCTACTATTAAGCTTCAGCCTTTCTGGAGTCTCTGCTGCATACTCAAGTGATCAATGAGAACTCTCCCCTCTGACTGGAGGAAGCCTGAACAATTCCTAGCGGTGGTAAGAGTTCCTAGAACAGTATAACTCACAGCTCCCCAGCCACTCTTTATCCAACCTTGTGGAGTTCCACTCCACAAATTCACATTTCAGTGTTCAACAAAGACTCAAGGGGACCCCTACACATATTTCTGGAATTCTGTTTCTGCTAGCTCTCTCCTCTCCAGAACTCTGCCACACAGCTGCCTCTGCCTCCTGCTTCCATCTTTGCCTCCATTTAGTGAGACTGCTGTGCACTGCCTGGGATCCTCCTCCCTACTCTGTGGTCCAGAAAGTAATGACAGGCAAAGAGCTGGCGTGATTGCAGGGCTTCCTTAGTTGTTTTTCTTCTCTTAAATATCAATGTCTTTCATGGACTATGGTCCAATGTCTAATAGAGTAATTTCATGTATTTTAATCCAGTTTTCTAGTTGTTTAAAGGAGGAGGATAAATCCAGTCCCTGTTACAACATTATGACCAGAGCAGAAGTCATGTTCAGTAGTTTTCACTGGAGGGATATAGCACACATGTAGGTGAAGTTGCCGCCATACAGAGACCGAACAGAGAAGGGATGCCTGGAAAAGCAAATCCTTAGGGGAAGGAGGAGACAAATCAAGATTTGAAAGTGGGGAGGTAGGATGGACAATCCCTTCTCTAAAACAAAATGAAGTAAAAACTGGTAAAAACCTAGGTAGGGCTGGAGATCAAAAAACAGAAGAGGGCAGGAGGAGGGGACTTAGAAGGAGTGGACAGGCAGGCCAGTCTTCCTCCTCCTCACAACCCTGCACACTGAAACTGGAACACTCAGGAACTTGTATGTTGAGGAGACAGAAAACATTGTTTTCCTTCTACATTTCTTAACATTATCATGGGATAATGTAGCCTCCTGAGATAATTCACACTTAATTCACAGAAGAATATTAGGGTGCTTCTCTTAACTTCCTACATTTAACTCTGAACTGAGCTGGTACCTTGTCCTGATTATATGGACCTAATAGGCAACTGGCACCGATTCCAAAACTAAACACTGGGACATCTGGTATGTCAGCACAACACACACACACACACACACACACACACACACACACACACACACACTTAAACAAAAAATGGACACAGAGATCCAGAAACATATATATTTATAATTTTGAATCTGGAACAAGAAATTTCATTCCTCAAATTAAATTTCATTCCTCAAATGAGGAGACAACCCAATCCCATAGACGGGGCCTTGATAGAATACCAACTTAAGATTTCCAAATCAGTCTTAGAGCAGTTGTAAAAACGAATGCAAACCTTTGTGAGGCTGTCTCACTGCTTCCTAGGTCAACTATGTCCATTTTAGTTGTACTTAAACTTGTATTCAGTTCATTAAATGAAACCACAGTTTAGCCTTATCCATAGCCTTTATTTTTCCTCTGAGACTCATTTAAATTAATTTTCTATCTAACCTATCTTACAACTATGCTTGCTTGGCCTCACCCATGACACTCTCTTCCTTTCTATGTACACTGAAGCCCTCTTGAACAACACATTGCCAAATTTCAGGGTCTGCTGCCTTCCTGGAAATGGATGGCAGTAACTAAACTGCCAACACCACCTCCTGGAACATGTAATGAGATATTGTCTCAGTAAACTCTTGGGTTCTGTGTAAGAATTGGACATCTGGTGAACTCTCTGAGCCAGTGTTCCATGGAAATAGTGGACGAGGCCTCAGAGTAAACACTGAACTTCTGTTGCCCTGTCTGCTGTCGTGAGCCTGGGGGAACTACAAACTCCAGATGCTTGATGGAAAGTAAGCTGCTCTTCAGTGTCTCTTGGGTTGCAGATTTTAGCTCACACAACTCAGATATGGAAAGGTTTTTTGTTTGCTTATTTTGTCCATAACAAAATAGACTGTCTGGCCTTTCTCCTGAGTTCACACCCAATGATCAGCAGGAGAAAATTAGATGTCCAAGCTGGTTTAAAAGCTTAGTAGGATTCAGTCTCTCCTAAGATGGCATCTAGGGGTGTGTGTGTGGAGGGGGGGGGGGGGGGGGGGGGGGGGGGGGGGGAGGTTCAGTAGTGAGCCCTGTAGTCTGCACACACATTTTTTGGCTTGGGGGTAGGGGTAGTGAGCCCGGCAGCTTTGTGCTGATCCTGGAGTGGCCACTGGTTGAAATCCATTGCTCTGATCACTGTCCACAACACCTACTGGCCTCTCATGCCGTATCTACACCTGGGTAAACTGTGGCCCTTTCTTCGGCTTGGGAAGTGCTCCCAGGGAGCATAAGACAACTGCCCTCACTGCCTTTGCTTCTCCTTGGCTCCTAATGGCTTAAGCTCTTAATGACCCCTTCCCTGGCTTCTGCTGTGTGGTCACCACATCTTATCACAGAGGGCACCCATGGACACACAGGTTTGAGAGTGCCCCAGGAGAATCAGGACATCCTGAGCAAATACTTCCATGTAACCTTGGCTGCCCCACATCAGTGATGGGACCTCTGCACTACAGTCTCCTCCCAGAATCTCAGACAGAAATCAAAGCTCTCGTTACCCACAACCCCCAGGAAAACAATTCTGGACACCCATCTGATCAATCCCCTCTTCTCCTTTCCTCTTATGCTTTTTCTTAGAATTCTCCAGGGATAGAAAGAAAAAGGCTTCCTTCCTCCACCACATTTCTCTTTTGTTTGCCCCCTTTTTAAGCAAAACTCTGGTCATTGATATGTTGCAGGGGTGATAAAGGAATTCAGATAATTATTTCAAACCAGGTTATGATATTGCTGCAAAATCCCATTTTTGAGTGTTAAAGCTGAATATTACCTTCATTCTCTTTGTATTCCTTGTAACAAGCCATAATGGTCTCTTCTCTTTCACTCCACTATCCCAGTTGGATGGCTGTCACAAGCCAATGAGGCAAGAGTTTGCAAACTCCAAAAGACAAAAGAGAAAGTCCGTTAATAATTTGAAAAATGACACATCTTTTAATGACTGTTTCTGATGCTACTTAGGGGGAGGAGGTAGATATCAGGGATGTAGAGAGGCTTGGCTCACTTTTGGGAAATGAGCTTCTAAGGATAATTAAAAGCACTTAGGGATCCTTGAGAGACCTGCCGGGTTACATGCCTGTAAGATCAATGGAAACATGTGCTCGTCTGTGGTCATGGCTAATAAATCCTATGCTGGAATTTTGCTTTGTTTTATAGGAACACTTTGGTCTTTTCACTTCCTTGGATGCCATCAATGTGACAGTGGTGACCATATTTCACTGGTCTAATTCCAGCTTCAGCAGCTGATTGGAGATCTGAGAACAAGACCAATCTGCATTCTTTCTCACTCACTAGGTACTCCACATGCAGGAGAAGATAACTGCAAGTGTGTGAGTCTTTCCAAAGCCTTTCTAAGTTGAAATTAGTCCATTCAGTCAATAAATATTTATCGGCCATCAACAAAATGAAAAGGCAACCTGCAGAATGGGAAAAAATACTCGCAAACCATCCATCTGATAAGGGGTTAATATTTAAAATATATAAAGAACTCATGCAACTGAATAGCAAAAGAAAAAAAACCAATTTGATTAAAATATGGGCAGAGGATCTGAACAGACATTTTTCCAAAGAAGACATACAGATGGCCAACAGGTACATGATAAGGTGCTCAATATTGCTAATCATCAGAGAAGTGCAAATCTAACCCACGAGATATCACCTCACCCCTGTCGGAATGGCTATTATCAAAAATACAAGAAATAACAAGTGTTAGTGGAAATGTGGAGAAAAAAGAATCTTTGTGCACTACTGGTGGGAATGTAAATTGCTTCAACCGCTACGGAAAACAGTATGGAGGTTTTTTAAAGAATTAAAAATAGAACTACCAATGGTCCAACAATTCCATTTCTGGATATTTATCTGAAGGAAACAAACAAACTAATCTGAAAAGGTCTATGCACCTTAATGTTCACTGCAGCATTATTTGCAATAGCTGAGACATGGAAGCAACCTAAGTGTTCATCAATGGAAGAATGGATAAAGAAAATGTGGTACATATGCATAATGTGAAATATTTTTCAGCCATAAAAAAAGAAGGAAATCCTGCTATTTGTGACAACATGGATGGACTTTGAGGGCATTATGCTAAGTGAAGTAAGACAGACAGAGAAAGACAAATACTGAATGATCTCACTTATATGTGGAATTTAAAAAACAAAAACAAAAAGACAACTCAGAGATACAGAGAACATATTAGTGGTTACCAGAGGCAGGCTGGGGCAGGGAGGGGTGGGGTGCAAAGCTGGTGAAGGGGGTCAAAAGGGACAAACTTCCAGTTATAAAATAAATAAGTCCTGGGATGTAATATACAGCATGGTGACTACAGTTAATAACACTGTATTGCATATCTGAAAGTTGTTGAGAGTAGACAAAAAATTTGTAACTGTGGGGTGATGGATGTTAACTAGATTTATTGTGGTGATCATTTTACAATACATATATAAATTGAATCATTATGTTGTACACCTGAAACTAATAGAATGTTCCATGTCAATTATATCTCAATAAAAATATTTGTTGAGTATTTTATTGATGGGGTATCCAAGAATATATTGTAGTAGAAAAAAGTAACCAGCATGTTCGTCACATGGTGAATATTTAATTAATCCCCAAGCACACTGCCCATCATTTATTGAGGTTTTACTGTAATTATCATAAACACTTTTGGGCTCTAAAATGTTGGGCAGACGAATGTGCCATTGTGGAGGACGAAGTTTAAGGGGCAGAGCCATGACCAATGTGAGGATGTTAGAGACGGGCATGGTTTGCTTTGAAAGAATTACGTAACATTATGTCCACCATACTTTTTTTTTGTTCCTTGTAATTTTCTAAAACATATCCTTGTGCACTTGATCGTTTGATATTAGCCGCAAAGCACTGTGACTTCACTCACTTTGTAGTAAGTCTGATTTAAAAAGCAGTCTATCTTACCCATCTCTGTAACTCAAAACATAATAGCAAATGCTAAGTGCTCAAACAATCTTTCTTAAATAAGTGATGAGTCCCCATTTTGTCCATGAGGAAAGTGATACTCACTGAAGTCCTAACTCGCCCCGTGTTGCACTGCTCAGGAGAGACTGCACCAGGACCAGATCACGCTAGCTCTCAAGGAAGAAGTTTCTGATAAGCTGAGTTGCTCCGTAATTAAATCCAGTAATCTACTAGGTTCCCTTATTTGAGACAGGGTGCCCTTGGCCATTGAACATACTAGAACAGAAGTCAGAAAACACCTTTTAATGATACTTCCTGACCTTTGAGGGAAGCGTGACTAGCCACTTCTTTGTTGCTCCTGATCTTGGAGGGAAGAATGACCAGTTGCTCTCTGAGAGCCTTTCCTGCAATGAGATCCTATTTTGACCCTGAAGAGCTCTTGTTCTACACCAAAGCATTACATTTGCTAGCAACCTCTCAGATTCAGATCTTTTAACAGAAAATTGATTTAAGCTAATGTAAGAGATACTCCCTTACGCAGGATAGGGCCTTAAATGCTGTTAATCTCTGTGGTTAAGTGAAGCACACTCTCTGTGCACCAAGGATAACCTGAAGGACAGTTTACTGCTGTCCCCTTCTTTCAGGAAGACCTGGAGGTGTTCCATTTACAAACTCTCATACGAGGACACGGCTCCCCAATGCCCTATCTTTAACTACTGAAGATTTATTAAAGCAAAGCAATGCACTGCCAGACAGATATTATTAGAAACATTTTTATTTAAAGTCAGACAATAGAAAGATGTCACAGAAGAAAACTACAGAAACTTGCAACAACAGAATGCAACTTGGAAAAGTTTTTAGTAAATGAGAAGGGGAAAAAAAAGATATTCCTGATGTTACCAAGGGATTTGTTAGTCCTCGTGTAGAATAATTTATCAATTCAGCCAAGTACACCCTTTGCTGGTGTCTTTTGAACAGACAGTAGGTTAATAATTTAGTTAATCTACTAAATTGGCATCTATTAAAACCCTCCAAAGTGAAACAGTCAAGGCAGCATTTCCCCACCATTTGAGATACAATGTGGGGAACTGAAATAATTAACAGTAGGAAGTTAAAAAAACCCCACTACTTCATACTGCATAGGTTTAATCTGGATTTCAGCCTACCTTACAGATGGTGCTTGTAAATCTGATAGAAAGTGGGCGACCAGGAATCTGGACACAACACCACCTCCTACCAAACACACAGACACATGACATCCTAGGACACAAGTGCCATCAATGCCCTTACCATGTGCAAGCACAGCAGCCCTAGACGAAAAGCAAAATGGCCTAGAACCCTGGCTTTATACTGAGCCCTTTCTGAACCCTTGGTGGAGGAGCACTGGGTTTACGGTAAGAAACATAAACTTTTTAAAAACTTTGGCAAGTAAGTATAGAAATGACTATTTCTTGATTGTCACTTTTAAAGGAAATTTCATTCTACTTCAGGAAAAGATATTCTCCTATCTTATGTGACTTCTCTCTCAAACATTTGGAGGGCAAATTCCTATAAAATATAGGTGGACTAAGACCTCTTATCTGCAATACTCGTTAATTATTTTTCACCTTCTCTACTTAAAAAGCACATAAAATGTATAGTCTATCACGGACAACAAACCCCAAGACCTTGCTTGTAATGGAAGTTTGGGAAGAACGTGACTAATTTTCAAAAATTGGGTCTGTGTGTATTTAACTCCTTTACAATAACCTATGTATCACATCACGGACAAAATAATATTATCTAACACAAATTTCGCCATTCCTCTCAACCTTTAAAACCTCACAGAGGTATTAAAATCAGTAGAGTAATGAGCCAAGGAGCGTGGAGCCGGAGATTTTCTTCTAAAATGCCATGACAAGCTATATATTAACTTTTTTCTCATAAATTCTAAGTTTAAAAAACAAGAGATCCAATGATAAACCAAGCTACAAGATATTGTTCCAAGAACTCATAGTTGTTGGAAAAAACGGATTTCCTTTATGCTCACAACTGTAGCACATGACTGTTCTGTTCTAAAGGGTAAGGAAGGGTGTTTAAGGACAAGACACAAGACCCAGATTTAGAGTCCAATTCATGACCTGAAAGGGTAAGTTAATGGTCTTAGGATAAAATGCGATTGGAAATTCACTAGGTTAGGCATATCTTCATACTTTTGGTTGAATTTTGAGGAGAATAGGAAGGGGGAAATTAGAGAAATATATTTTAACATAAAAACATAAGACTCTAGCATGGAGTTCTTTCAGATTACAGAAAGAACCCTTCATAGATCTATGGGGATAAATTACTGATCTATTCAAACTTCCACAATGAAGTAGTAAAATTATCTTGTAAGTCTGGAGGACTCATAGAATTACGAACTACTGTAGAAACATATAACTCCTAAGTAAAGCTGCCATAACCCTACTTTCACATTGTTTGGGTGGGAGGTGGGGAGGGGAGACAAAAAAAGAGAAGGTTGGTGCCCTGTGTCCACTGAAGGAGGTATAATTTATTATTGTACTCTTTCTAATACGATCATGGAATGGCTCTGTCGCATCTACTCTAACAGATGACAGCACCTGCAAAATCTAAACTTGGATGGACGTTGGGAACAAAACACCCACGGTGTGCGTAGCACTAGGCTTGCTGCAATGGGAAAACAGAGAAGCAAGGAGACACATATGGGTTCTGCCTCCAAAAGCATAAAATACAGTTTAAAATGTGCTTTTTATTTCTTATTTTAAAATGAGAAATTCTAAATGTTATGTTGACATTAACTTAAAGTCCTTTCTTAGGTATGTGTCCTTTCCAAGAAAGGCAGGTTAATTTGGACTTTGTTACAACTGGCAGACGCTGCTAATAAATAACATACTCGAAAACATAACGCCAGCAATAACAGCGATTGGTAGCTACTGGCGCTGGTTCTGCAAATCACGTAAGCTACTTCGGGAAGAGACATTACATAAACACCAAGTCCTAACACATAAGTGAGAAAAACAGCTTTAAACACTCAGACCCTGTTTGGTTACATTTTGTCAAAGCTTTAATTTCCTAAACTCAGCCTTATTTAAACTAATTAAGTTTACTAATGACCACTGAATTTTGAACATAACAGCATCAAGTGCTGCCAAACCATTTCTGAAAAGATAATTACAACCCTTCATTCTAGAAATTCACAGAAAGCCCAATATTGAAGGTTGCAGGCACCCTATCAGTGGACTGCTTGACTGCAGACCACCTCGCCGAGGTACAGCCTTTAGCACAGACAACCCCTCTGAGGTGTAGCCCTCAGCCCAGAAGGGTGAGCTCAGGGAGAACATCTCCACCGTAAGACTCTGTCCTGTGCAAATGGAAATACATTGACAAGCCCTCACATCTAGATCCATAGGAACTTCCGAAAGTCAAGATGCCATTAACCAAAGGAAAATGTACCTTTATCAATATCAAGCAAATGGTCACTAAGAAAGACCTCAATGTCACATGCTTGCAGAAATATATATTAAGAGGTGGGAGTAAACATCCCTAGTGTTTCTAAAAGCTAACAGCCCTTATACTGACTGAGTTGGCCACTTCGCCCACAACACACGTGCTATGATTCAAGCAAATACGTCATACGACACTGACTATCAGAGGATTTTCACCCTCCATCAATATCCAACTTGCATAAAATGGGCAGAGCGGTCAGATCTTGAATAGACACTACAAGTCCATAGAGCTCTAAAATAGGAAAGTCCTGTGTTTTACTGATACACAAAATGTTTAAGGAAATTGCCAACTTGATGGGTTAATATTCTCTGAAACAACTTCTCAGGCAATTCTACTGTGTCTCAAATGTGTATCATCTGAAACTTCATAGAACTGGTGCATCACACAAACCATATCATGTCATTTCGGAATCTGTACAACTTAATGCAAACCCAGTGGGAACGTAATGATTACGTTTGTGAAAGTCATAAAGCAATTTTATATTTACAAATACTTAAAAATGATAATTACTTCACTCCTTACATCAAATCTGTAAACAGTCAAAATTATACCCATTTCACAGAAAACGAACTAGACATTAAGACAAAACACCTATAAATCAATTCAGAACAAGAATATGAATTCATTGTCATAAACCTCTAGCCCTCATAAGTTCTCCTTTCCTCCCTCTCTCTCTTCTAATTAATTCAGCAAGTAGCTTATACGAACACTCATACAGGATTTTCTTTTACTAATCAACTATTCTTCTACGCTTAAAGTAAGTACGACTAGCAAGGAAAACTACTAAACTCCTAAGGCAAGTTAAAAGACAAACAAACCTAAGCAAACATCATTTCATAATTAGGCTACTTTGGTTGCAACCTAATTCTGGGGTTTAGTGCATATGGCTGGGTAACACAGAGGGTCTGTACAGCAACAGACCTAACTGCTGAGGCAGAGTTTGAAATCACTCCAACATTTGGTTCATTTTCAAGATTCAGAATGAGGTCCTAACTAGGAAACCTCCAGAGATAGGAGTTGGGAGCAAACTAAACAAGACATGGGAAAGTAGCTGCTCAATCTAAATTATGATCATCTGGATATCCCAACTCAACACCCTGACATATCCCACTCTATTCAACATCAAAGGGAACAGGTATAAAACTCTCACAAACCAGTATGAATAGTTAAGTTACATCTCAACCAATGAGTCTAGCAGACTCTTTAAAGACACAGTTATTTCTGTTATCTGTAAATGTTTGGCTTCTAAGAATAGGGACATAATGTACTTTTCAGTGTAATAGTGTAAATCAAATTAGATGGATTCTAAAAACACCAATTCACCTTACAAGGAGCTTATTAATTAGAGAGAATGGCTACTTATTAAATTTTGGTAAGAAAATGGGAAAAAAGGATATTAAGATAATCCAGGTTGATAGGATATAATAGAATATTCCCTAAAGTTATCTCAATTAAAAAGCATTACAAATAAAAAATCATTATTTTAAACATAAATAAAACATTTTCATAAAAAATATATTGTTAAATTTGAAGGTAAGTTCAAACTTTCTTGTAAAATAGCCTCCAGGCCACTAGCCGATGTAATAGGGGCTCAAGAATACTAAGTAAATGAACTTACTTAGTAAGTAAGTTTTAATGGTTTTTAAATCTTACTTTTAAATTAATCTTTTAATATCTCTCTTAGTAAAAAGGATCTTCTGTTAAGAATCTGGAAAAAAATTTGGATTCCATTTTGATCTTTAACATCCAAATTATCTTTTTTTGTGTGATATTTTAAATGTAAACAGCATCACCTACAATAATTATAAAATCATGAATTAAAGATTTGCTAAAATTTTAAATTTAATTCCTAAAATTCAGCAATTTTACTGATTTTATCCTGATAAAGGAATATTATTCTTAGGAATATAAATGTGTCTATATTTTTTTTGGTCAGTTTTATCCATTTTATTGACTTTTCAATTAACAATAAAGTTCATTTGGATAGTAAGTCAAAAAATTCTTTCTATCATGGCTTTAAACTGCATTTTTTAACCCCAAAACATTATCCAGAACCACTTTAGGCTACAATGTAACCGAAGTATAAACAGTAGGAACTCACATTCCCTTGAACAACTGTCCTTCCACTTAGAACACAATGAACTTCTTAGGTAGGCAGGCAGAATTCTTGTTCACTTAACTGCAACCCCATTTAAGCACGGAATCAGGGCAAAAAAAGTAAAAAGTGAAGAAGGGAATAGAAAGGATATACATTAGTATTAAACCATATGCTATCTGAGTGTTAGGTTCCCACATAAATATTTTGCTGTATATTTTAAAAATCACTTCTCAAGGACTGATTTCCTCTACTTCCATTATCTTTTATAATGAAATACTCCTTTTCAAGTTACTTATTAGAGTTGTTACTAGCAAATACTGTCACATACCTCTAGTTCAAGATATTAATATATACACTTAGCCTGAAACTAAGTGTACTACTTAGTTTTAGTTATAAATAATATATGTATAAAACAGGTAGGGTTGCCATTATTTATATACTGCAATAAATATACAAGAATGAGTACAAATTATTTTTCATAAAAATACAACCTCTAATCAATTCAGGAGGTTTCCAAACTATGACGACATTGAATACATTAAAACACCAGGCAGTCTCCTCTGTTATAGAATGCCAGTCAGGTGAGATCTGAAAGAGATTCTTTATTGGTAGCCATATACAGTTGACTATACCATCTCTGTGTTTTCTCGCTATTTAAGAAAAAATATAGAACCTGGACATTTAAAACATTATCAATGAAATAATCACCACAGACTCACTGGATCTTTTAAAATTTTGTTAAAAATTGCCAAAGTCATGATGAATACAATTATTGCAGCTACATCATTTGAAAAAGTAATATAAATTATGCTGCTAAAGACAAAAAACATCGAAACGCATAAACATCATAATGTAACACAGCAGTAACTCATAACTATTAATATGAAAAATTAAAAAGTTATGTTAGAGAACTCGGGAATTTTTCATTTTAGCAAAACATTCTATTTATATATCTCCAACTTCTATGATACAGTATACCATAAAATACTTTTAAAAGGTACAACATTCAAATGCTTCATTTACACAAATAATATTGCCAGTACTAATAAAAGTGATGCCCTTAAACATGAACTGCTCTGCTAATTATGATTTTAAAAATGTTTTACTTCATTTTACATTTTAGCTAGCAGTCAGCATTACATATTAATCAGTTCTGTGTTGACAAATAGGATCCTAGTCAAAATACTGTTTCTGAAAAGTAATGTACATTATATTGCTTGAAACTAATAACCATATAAAAGTGGTAATCATTTATCTAAACACTGATTATGAAAGACAACTGGCATATATTCAGGCAGAGTGTTGAGTTCATGATGGTTTATTTACAATAAAAGTACTTTTACTGAAGCTAACGTGATATATAGGTTTCTATGTCAATTACTACAGTCTCTTAAAATTATAAAAATATTATATAAAATACCACAGGCTTTAGAGGATATAACTTCATGTGGTTCTGATACTAGCAGCTGAAAAGTGTTTATAATTTAAAAATAAATAAACTATAGAGGTAAACCAGTTACAAAACAGCAGGGGACTGCAATAGTCACAAGAGTGAAAAGAACTGCTTAATTACACAATAGCTAACAAAACGGTGAAGCAGTTGGATCAAAAGTTTTAAAAACCTCTTTCAGAGATTTGTCATCTGTTGCTCTACGAGGGTCATCATCTGGGGTGGGGCTCACCTGACCCGGCTGCTTTGACTGTCTTGGATCGCTGTACTGGGGTCTAATTAAGCCTGTTAATGCCTGAATCGGAAGACTGTGCACTGCTGGGACCTGAACGGTACCGGAACTCCCAAGAATATCTGCCTCTGGGTCAGCTGGCCCATCAACAGGGACGTCCACGTTTGGAGCGATTTTCTGTGGTAGGACTGCTTCTCCAGTAGGAGGCTCGTTTTTATCACTACTTTTTAAACCACCACTTTTTTTCTGGCTCTCTGCATTTTCTGTTGCTGGCTCTGATGTAGATGATGAACTATGCTCCCTAGGGTCATACAAACTAATAGCACTAAGGACTGAACCTGGAGTTCCCAGGGGAAGGCCAGCTGAAGATGAGAGTTTAGGGGCATATGGAGGCAAAGCCCCAGGACCAGAATTGCTAGATACTGCCCCTAAGGGCTGTGATGAACCAGAGTTTGATCTGGCTACATGAGGGGCACCCTTTGATGTATGTGAATCCTTCATAACTGCTTGATGAGACTCTGTACTATGCAGTCTGTGAAGTCTAGGATCAAAACTTTTTTGCAGCCTAGGGTCTCCTAACTTACTTCCTGAACTATGTGCGTCTCCAAATTGTTCTAGGTAGCCTTCTCTGTTTGCTGTGTTAATTTTGGCCTTGCCTGCTAGTTTTGCATCAGTGGGCACTGTGCTTTGACGAAGATCACTTTTTGTATTCCACAACCTACTGAGCCTCTGATCAGCTATAAGAGGGGGCAGAGGTAAATTGATTGAAGATACTGGGTCAGGTTTAGGTAAAGGGACTGGAAGTAAGTCTTCTGGAGCCCACACGATGTGTTTTGCAAAGTTGGGTTTGGTTAGGGTAATATCCATTTTAATGTGACTAAACTGTCTCAGTTGTGACCTTGGATCCTGGAGCATTATACCAGGGGAAGAATCCAAAGGTATTAAGAAAGCTTTTTCTCTCAGTTCTCTTTCTGTATCTTCATCGTCATCGTCTCCTCTTTTGTGTTTGACATTAGGGCCAGCATTTCCATGATGTAAATCAAACTTTGCTCCACCAACAGAAGAACCTACGTGACCACTTCCATTCCCTCTTAATTTCCTGGGATCCCACGCAAGTCTAAGATCCAGTGGGGTAGACTCAGAAGATTTTCTAACGTCTTGCCTTGAGATAGTCCTAAGTCTAGGGTCAACCACTTGGTTTCCTTTATTTTTCTCTTTAGCAAGTCTTGGATCAGTAGGAGTGCTGAGTTCTGTGGAAGGTTGTTGTTGACTCCTTAAAGTTTCTGTTTGTTTCTGCAATGTTTTCAGTATTGACTTGACACTGCTTCCTTCTTCCTCTTCACTACTGGAATACCAGTTAACAGTATCATCTAAATGCAGACAAAAACTATGGTAAAGAATGAAGCATTCATATTTGGCCTTAATTAAGATGAAAAAAACACATATACTATTTCTGAATAAGTGTAGTCTAACTTCAAGAAAATGCATCATAGAAATGACAGAGTTTCAACACTGGAACAAGATAAGATGTGGTATAACAATTAACAATTCAGTCACTATACTTTATAAAGAAAGAAGTATGATATTAGAACATGTGTAATGTCCTTCTAGTCAGAGAACAGTCTGAACCTTTCATTCCAACTGGTCAAAGGGAGCTCAGAAATGTGTGGTAAGACAGAGCTGGGGGAGAAGGGAAAACACTCTTGAAAAGGAATACCAAAATGTTTTGGCTCTCTTTAATTCATAGCTCTGGATTTAACTTCATAGCTTAATCCCTTAAACTTCATAGCTCTGGATTTATCAGGATAACAAGGGAGAGCTATAAAAAAAAATACCTGGAAAGAAAACAAAACACTAACAATGATGGTTAAGGAAGCAAAGGGAACCGAGCAAGTGTGGGCTCAGGTGGGGACTTTTCACTCATACTATATTTTTAGATGTTTGACCTGTGTGAATATATTAATTATTCAAACATTAAATTAAAAACAACAAAGAAAACTAACAGCCTAAAATTTACATACTTTAACTTTACGAGAACACTTTGGGCCTTACTCTTAAAGCCTATGTAACCCTAGTGTATTAGGCACAATGTTAAGACGCTTAACCATCAGAGGTCTTCTCTCTAGTAGAGAAGGGAATAAAAACTGATGCTTCAGGAGGGCGAGTCTCCTTCCTCTCCATTAAAACACACACAGGTTATCTCTGAATTGGCCATACGTATATATGTGTATATATATATGTGTATATATATATGTATATATATATATATACACATATATATATACACATACACGAACATATGTACACATACTCATACGTATCCTAGAATATCTTGGATCAATAGAACAGCATATATATTCTCACTTTTACCTCATCTCACTGCTCACTAATGTGTTTCCACAACATCGAACTTTAGTGCTACACACTTAGTTTGAACAGAACAGTGCTGACAAAACAAGCACTCGGGAAAGCAATTATACTCCAATAAAGATGTTAAAAAAAAAATACGTAGAACAGATCCTTCCCTCACAGCCCTCAGAAGGAATCCACCCTGCCGACACCTAGATCTCAGACTCCTGGCCCCCACAACTGTGAGACAATAAATATCTGTTGTTTAAGCCAAAACCAAAACCAAAACAACAACAACAACAACAAAAACAAGCACTCGTATTTAGGGTGGGGATGTGGCTTAAAATAGTATATATCAATATTATATCACAATGGCAAAAAGTTTTACTCATATCTCGGTGTCTGAAAAAACTACTTCTAGACACCGGATCTCTTTTCTTTTTTTTTTCCTTTGACTTCCAGGAAGTCTAGAGCTAGACTTGTGATTCACTTTCAGCTGTTGTAGTTATTTTAAATATTTCTGTATAGGAGCTTCACTCCTCATAGAATTTGGTACTTGATCCAGATAGGTAAGACAATCCAAATCTGATCCAAATAGGTAAGATGCTATTTTATTTTCACTTTCGTATCAATGTATTTTATAAGCAGTCTTAAATTCTTTTTGGAATAAGAATGAATATAGAGCAGAAAGAAAGTAGAACAGTAGAGAAAGGTCAGTGGAAAGCAGATATTAGACAGAAAATGATAGTTAAGAGGTTTCTATGAGCATTTTATCAAAGGACAAATAAAATTTATAAAGGCAATAAAATTTCTAACAATGAACAAAAACACAAAAAACCTAGCTGTTTAAGAAGTTTTCTGTATTCCGAGAAAACAAGCCTCATAAAACATTACCAATTTTACAGTATTATAGTATAAAATTTTATATCATGTAGAAAAGTTTTAATTTTCTTATCTATGAAAACATAAAGCTTTGTTACTTTAAAGAAAGATTACCATTAAAATGGCTGCGTATTAAAATTAGCACCTAAAAGAGTACACATAAATTTTACAGGAATTAACTTATTAGAAATTCCTCATTTCCCTGTCATGCTAAATAAATGAAGAGTTAATAACACCTTTTTTGAAAACATAACAATGTTTATATAATAGCTTGTAGCTACCTAGTGTTATCTAGTTTTACATAGTTATTCATAAATTTCACGGGGCTTTGTTTTTTGGCTGCACCTCGAGGTATGCAAAACTTCCCAGACCAGGGATCAAACCCGTCTCCCCTGCAGTGGAAGTGCAGTCTCTTAACCACTGGACTGCCAGGGAAGCCCTAAATTTCATGTTTAAGAGTGGCCAAACATCAATTTTGTAATTCATAAGAAGAACTGGGTGATTTAAAGTTCTCTGCCCTTAACTGAGTTAACTAATTGCTGTACACATATCAATATCAAAAATACTAAGGGAAACTTAGTGTCCCCACGTAGTCTTTTAAATTAAAAATAATATTCCTTAATAACATAGCAGAACCTGAAGTATACAGCCTCTGCCCATGAAAATCTAATAATCAAATAACTTTGAGCTTGAGTTACAGGTTAAAATTCCTGAACTGGAAGGTATCTTGTTCCTGTTCTATTTCTTTTCTTTAAAAAAGAAAAAAGAAAAAAGGCATAATAGCAAGTCTGCTTGCCCAGGCCTCACACTCCAGCTTCAGTCTCTTTATTGCTTCAAATCAAACCCTTTGCAATTAACTACTAATGCATCAATGGCACTGGAAACTACAATCAATCCCAAGAAGATAGGAGCTATGAGATAAATTGGAAATAGAATAGATAGTTCACAGGAACTCCTTTTTCAAATTTTAACTTATTCAAGACCATTTCAGGAACTGAGTGATCCAAATAGGTAAGATGCTATCATACCACCTGACACACCTTCTTCCTTGCTTGGTGCCCTCTGAGGTTGGGTGCTGCCTGGTTCTTCATCTTCTTGGTATTTCTGAGTAAGTCTAACAAAAAGAGCTCTCTGCACTGCAGGGAGGAGACCTGGTGCAGGCAGGGGGCCATGGCCTGTCACATTACTGCTGCTGTCAGACCCACTGCCGCGGGTAGGTGAGTCTTGAACGATAGGAGGCTGATGCTGGGCAAATTCACCATGCCACGTCCCATCTACAGACATAACACGGAAAGAGACACTGATTTAGCGTAAAACTCCACTAGACAAGTACCACTGTGAGTTGTAAGAAACTGAGTTACAGTAATATCACATTTGATTATCAGATTATTATGAGATTGTAAGCACTTTTCAAGGTTATCTAAAGGTCTATTGTTACAAATATTTGGTTAAATTTAAATCATATTTTAATGTTTCAATTTCATCACATTTTACGTTGCTTTATTTAAAACATGCATTCTTTCCATGCTTTTAAAGAAAAATAGGACTCCAGATATTTTAAATTAGAAATGAGTTATTTCAAAAGGTAAGCTTACCACCAGAGTTATTGGGTGGCTGAAAATTATGTACAGCATGCTGTGAATAGTAATTATCATAAAACTCAGCTGGGTTTTGTAAGGACTCATAATTGGTATTGAGCTGCATTTCACCAGGACTTTGCAGGTGTGATGAACCTGGAGAACAGTGATTCTCTCTAGGTACTTTCATCATGTGTTCTGGAAAGCCAGGGCAATGGTAAGCGCCACTCATATTTGGTGGTGTCAAAGGTGTATCCGGTTGAACAAGTACTCCCGCTTGACTGTGAGGGCCTACAATTCCAGGTGGACCAGGCGGCAAAGGTGGGCTCTGCGGCATTGGTAGACCAGGAGGTCCTGCGCATGGATGATGTCCAGGGGAGCCTGGGTGCATCACAGGACTATTGTGTCCCTGAGACATATTAGGTCCGGGACCTGGACTTGACCCAGAACTATACATATGTTGAGTATGTGGGCTGCTTTCCTGAAATTGTGGTCCTGGTGGTGAGGCACTGTTATAAAATGCTGGTGGCCTGTAGACAAAAGAATAATATTTCTTAGTTCAAAGAAAAGAGGCAAACAAGAATGTTACATTTCTAAATAGATATTGGTTGAATGTTTTACAGTATCAGAAGAGAAAACTATATTTTTAAGAAGCAATTTATTCCATATTATCTATAAGTAGAAACACCAGCATACGTATCGTGCCTTCATTTTAGCACACACGTTTTCTAAATTGCTGCTTACTATCATCTGTTCTAAAACTTAATATTGATGTTTTCAAAAATATAGAAAAATACAAAGATAAATATGATTCATCTCTAATCCTATCACCCAGAGATAAACTTTTTGATTGGTTCTCTTCTAATCCTTTTTCTAGGTACACACAGACCTTTTTATAACAAAATTAGAATTATACTATATAAACGTACTGCTTGTATTATAATTTCTAATTGGTTATTGCTTGACATGAAAAGATTTTAGTTTTTGAATGTTGCTCTTCTTTCTGGGCATCTTACTAATTTAATTACAGTTGGGCCTCCATATCGGCAGGTTCTGCATCCACAGATTCAACCAACTGCAGATCGAAAATATTCAGAAGAAAAAAATTGCAAAAAGTTCTGAAAGCAAAACTTGATTTGCTGTATGTACTCCAGCAACTATTTACATAGTATCTACATTGTATTTACAACTATTTACATAACATTTGCATTGTATTAGGTATTACAGATAATCCAGAGATTATTTAAAGTATACGGGAGTACGTATGAAGGTTATACGCAAATACTTCACCATTTTAATATAAAGGACTTGAGCATCTGTGGATTTTGGTATCCATGGAGCTCCTGTAACCAATCCTCCTGAGACACCCAGGAACAACTGTACAACTTCTAATAGTTTTGTCAGTGATTCCTTTGGGTTTACTAAGGGAAAATGCCCAAATAATGAGTCTGCCCCACCATTTCTAATCATATCTATTCTATCTTTCTCTTTTTGCATTGACTAGGATCTAATCTATAATATTTAGCCAAGCAGTGGACAGACTTGTCTTCTTCTTGACTTTAATAGAAATACTTTTTTTTTTTTTTGCGGTAAGCAGGCCTCTCACTGTTGTGGCTTCTCCCGTTGCGAAGCACAGGCTCCGGACGCGCAGGCTCAGCGGCCATGGCTCACGGGCCCAGCCGCTCCGCGGCATGTGGGATCTTCCCGGACTGGGGCACGAACCCATGTCCCCTGCATCGGCAGGCGGACTCTCAACCACTGCACCACCAGGGGAGCCCAATAGAAATACTTTTAATGGCTCATATTAACTGTGATATTTGCTACAGATTTCTTATTCCTCAATTGCTGAGATCTCATTGCTTCCCCGAGTCTTCAGGATTAAAAGAATAATCAACAATGGGACTTAGAGCCCAGGTGCACAGACCCTGGTGGATGGGAAACAGGACCGGAAAATGCAAACTTGGATGCAGCCTTATCCAGAGGTTTTCCTCTAACAGCCCAAGGAACGACTTCTCTAAAAGAATGAATATGCTGGAGACATATTACCCACTATTTGAAGATGTTATCAGTGACAGTCCTGCCTCATAACAAGGTGGTAGGAATGCCAGTTCCATCCACCTGGCAGTGCCCTTCAGGATTAGTGTGTGGAGAGGTTTCTGAAGCTGTGTTAAGGATTCTGTACAGAAAAGCACTGATGGCATGGCAGGCAGCAGAGGGTGGGGCAAAAAGGAAGTGGGAAGCAGCAGTTGGGGTGCATGCCAGACATCTGCTACCTCTACCTAAGTTTAATTATATGATTGACATGGAATACAAGTTAGTTTCTTAATAAGAATTTTTAGGGGGAAAATGCAGCCATTTTTTGAAAAATTTAACTTACTTCTTCCCAATTTTATGTGCTAAATCCACAGTAGGTTTTACAACTATTTCAAAGAGAGATGGAATTTTCTTGAAATCATCAGAGAGATCTGTCTGAAAATCATCTTCGGGATCAGAAAAGGGAAAATGCTCTGGTGGGGTTGGCAGAAGCCCAACTCCTGGAGGCGGTTTGGGAAGAGGAGTTATGCCACGCTTTCTAAGTTCTTCTAACTCTCTTTCATCTTCATTTGTAGCTTCTTCTTCAGTATTCAACACCTAAAAATAATTGGCAAGGATTACTATTTCACAACAAGCTTTCTTCCTCACATTTAAAACTGTGACGACTTGAGTAAACTAGTTTTGTCAATAGAAAAATACAATATTAAAGTTGAAATAGATCAGAGATAGCTAACTACTTTTTTATAAAGAATATGAGGTTCAAAGAGGTAAAGGATATTTCTTAAAGTAAATTAGCTTTTTTAGAGGTCAAATTTTGTGGTTACCAAGGTAGTGGGAGGAAGAACTGGATGAAGGTACTAAAAAGGTACAAACTTCGAGCTATAAGATAAATAAGTACTAGGGATGTAAAGTATAACATGGTAAATGTAATTAACAGTGCTGTATATTACATATAAAAGCTGTTAAGAGAGTAAATCCCAAGAGTTTTCATCACAAGGAAAAAAATCTTTTCTACTTCTTTAATTTTGTATCTATGTGAGATGATGGATGTTCACTAAATTTACTGTGATCATCATTTCAAGATGTATGTAAGTCAAATCATTATGTTGTACACCTTGAATTTATACAGTGCTGTATGCCAATTATATCTCAGTAAAATTGGAAAATAAATAAACTGCATTTGAACAGAAGCTCAACTGAGAGAAATAAAATTTATGAGGGACTGGTTCAAAAAATTAGGTTTTTTAATGGCAGAACAATGATAAGAACAAAAGATTCTGTTTTTTTTTAAGGTTAAGGCAATTGTATTACTTACTATCATTAATAAGTAAAGGATACTATAACAGGTGCCACTATTGAGCATTTACTATTTACTAGGAGTGGTATGAAGTGTTTCATATACATCACATAATTTAATCTTTTAAGAACAAAAGATTCTTAATTCTTAGTCCAATATTCCTGCTTTTCTAACACATTACATTAACAGAATAAAACATAAACTAACAAGTCCTTGATCTCTCAGCAGAGTTTTATAAACTATGACTTATAAAACATGATTCAAGTCAAATGAATCTGTAATCAAGGTACAAAAATATTACTCACTTTGTCCAAAAGTTTCTTTGTTTCTTTAGTGAGATCATCATGTGAAAATTTACAGTTGTCTCCTTGGTAACATTTTGCTCCACTATGATAGAACTTGCATGGAAATTCATGTAAATAAAAATATTAAGGAATAGACCACGTAAAATCAAACTCTCATATTTTTATACCCAAAAACATAACTGCTGAATCAATGACTTTATTACTAATACTGTACTAAATTTTCTATAATCACACAATTTTTAAAATTTTAAATATTTTAAATACATGGCAAAACATTCAAAAAATTTTAAGTCTCCTCTACTCTATTAAAACTAGAAAACATTTTTTAAGAGCTTAACTTTTGTATTTAAAAAAAACTTGACTGTACAAACTATATTACCTGTTATTTTTTTCTGTCAGTGATAAATGTTTATATCTTCTATCATAACAGAGTTAGTAATGTGGGTAATTAACACAGACTTCCTTAGAAAGAGCTTTGGGTCAAGATTTTACAAATCATCTCCCAAATTACCATAATATAAATTATGCCAAAAATTCTGTGCAAAATCTAGATGCCTTCACCACTGATCAAAAGAGTCATGTTAAAGTTTCAATAGTTTGTTGAGAGCACCATGATACGAAATGTTAAGTATAAATGTTAAGCTTGCATAATTAGCTAATTCCATTAATATTCTTTTTTCTCAATAACCATTTTTTTAATTGAAGTATAGTTAATTTACAATGTTGTGTAAGCTTCAGGTATACAGCAAAGTGATTCAGTTACACATATATGTATCTATTCTTTTTCAAGAAAACAATTTTTTAAAGTAAAAATATTTATGATGGCTATAGCAAATATTATAGTGTAATTTAATTATGTAAACTCTGTTACTTTACTCAATAAAATAAAATATAGAACAAATAAATTTTGTAGCAAGAGCTCATATCTATGAAGAAAATAAAGGGGTCTGATATGTCAAATATCCCAAAAATGAAAACTACAGGCTAATCTTACTTAAAATTTTAGAGACAAACTTCTAAAGAAAATATTAAATCTAGAAGTATAGTGAAAAATATACCATTTTCAGGTAGTGTATGTTCTGGAAATTTCTGGGTAGTTTTAGGAAATTTATTATTGTAATCATCACATTGATAAGGTCAAGAGAGAAAAATCATGTGATCATCTTAGCAGATACAAAAGGCAACTGATAAAATTCAAGATCTTTTTTTGATATTAAAAACTGTTAGTAAAATAAGGATATACATACTTGAGTTTTAAAAAAAATCAATATTAAAACTACAGCCAAAGCAAAAGGGCATTATCTTTGAAACATGTATTATGCTGCCACAATCACTATTATTTAACATTTTTCTGGAAGTATGGACAATACAGTTGAAATTGTCATCCCACAGATGGCATGACTATGGAGAAAAACATAAGAATAGATGGAAAGCTTTAAGAAACAGTTCAGTAAGGTATCTGGTTTCTAAAGAAGTACGTCAAATCTGAAAAAAAATTTTCTTTGATTGAATAAGACAAATTTATCATAACATTTTGATAAAGAAAAAAGGAGTATCTGCCCTAGTAAATATCAAATATAATATTACAGAGGGGAATGGTCAAAGAGCACAACGTGTAACAGTAGTATAGAAGCAGAATTATGCACAGAGGAAAATTTAGAATATGGTTAAGGTGATCTTTCAAATCTGTGAAGAGGGGACAATGAGCTAACCATTTGGAAAAAAAATAAGGTCCTTACTGAAGGACAGTATACATATATATATATATATATATATATTTATTTATTTATTTATTTTTATTATTTTTTTTTTTTAAAGGACCATATATAGTGAAATGCCATAGGGGTAGAGGTAGGAATACAACTGAAATGTATAGATTTCCAAAGGGAGAAGTAGGGAAGAATATATAGTGCTTATCATTAGGTGGTAAGATTTGATAAGACTTTGGTTTAATAATTTCCAACAATGACAATTTATTACTTATGAACCTAAGTAAATAATCATTTAGTCACAGAATAAATATGTTGCGAACTACTCCTTCAGGAAGCACAGTCTCTTGAAATACTTATAAGCTGAGTATATTAAATATGAAGTATATTTATTTCATAGATTTTTTTCCAAAGGGAAGTTATTTCGTTTCCCTAAAGAAAAAAATTCAGTTTGCCCTTTTGAAGTGCAAAGGCTGATTAGACCTGGTTTATATAACGTGCTATTTTAAATTTAAAACCAAACTAGGCTTTCTGGGTTTTACTTATGATTTTTAAAGTCTCAGTGATGCTTGAAAACTACAATATTTTGGTTAACATGTTTTTAATAAAGGATATTATGCATATAAATGCAGTTCTCTCCTTTGGTACAATATCCTTGTAAATAAAATTTGCAGATCTCTTTTCTCTTCTCCAACTCTGCATCATGATCAAATTTACATTGATCTCCCTGTTAACAAAAAAAGAAAAGAAGAAAGAGGGAAAAAAAAGAAACAACTGAATTGAATTTTCTCCATGGTGTTTCATGGTAGAACTATGGTCATATCTCCAGTCTTTAAATAATGAGCTAATAATAATTCAAACAGTCCTTAGAATTCTTGCCCAAGACAGTGGATGTGGCTCTTTGCAGAGAGCCAGCACAGTCAGCATGACCTCAGAGGATACTGCCTGGCTCCACCAGCACTCACCATTTGTAGCTGAGCTACTCTGGGGACTTATTTAACCTCCTGGTTTGGCCATGTTAAAAATGAGGATAATAACAGTGACTACAATTCACTGTGTCACTGTAAAGATTAAAACATTTAATATTAGTAATCTACTTTGAACAGTACTTGCCATACAGTCAGCATCATGTGTTTGTTAAATAAAATCTCATTTCAACAAGTTATATTACTGCCCCAGAATACAATTAAATGAGTTCTGATATACAGTATTCAATGCAAGATACATTTTGAAGAACCAGTTTTATTACAACTATATGAGAAATGAAAAAACTAACCACCCCCTAAAATGACTTTACATTTTAAAGATTATTTCAGAAGTTAAAATGATTTATGATACCCCTATAAATTTACCTTAATACATCTCCCTTCCAGAAAGTATTTACAGATTTGTTTTCCTTTATGTTCCACTGTGTGCTGATTAATAAATTCCTGAGTCATAACCTTCCATTTTTTCCCTGGTTTACTATACTGCAAGAAAAAAAATTATTTAAATAAAACATATGAAGTAGTAAAAAGGTATTAAAATGTATAGTCAAATGAATCTAGAAAGCAGTATACATTGATTATTAAAAGTAGTGAAGACTGGACATTCTGATGCTATTCATTTACTTGGAGAGAGATATGCTTCTAGAAAAGTGCTTATTGCTATACTAGTAGTTGCAAAGAACGCTATTTCTAATTTAATGAGGACATACAACTACATTTTTCAAAATAAAATTATGAAAATCTTGAAAATTAACAATAATACTTTGGCAAAGGTACAATAAAATATTTACTCTCGTGTACTGTTGATGGAAGACGTACAATATCCATACTGTTTGACACAAAATTTGTACTTTTCAGGATTATTCTGAAGGAATTATCAGGAAGGCACACAAAGAGTTATTCACAAAAATAACTACTGCAGAATTATTTACAAGTAAAACAAACAAACAAAACAAAATCTAGAAATACTGTACCCATCCAAAACTAGGAGACAAGTCAAACACATTATGATACACTTAGGTGGTAGAATATTATACTGTCATTAAAAAATCATGGGATGGAAAGACAATTTGGGGACATAAGAAAATGTTCACAATACCTTACCAAGTGAAAATGTGACCCCAGTTTATAATAATAAAGACAAAGAAAAAGACTAAAAGAATATACCCCTACCTTTAACAGTGTATGTCTCTAGGTATATCTCTAAAAAATTATAGATTGCTTGCGTGTGTGGTTATTTTGTACTTTCTATAGGAAAAAAATGGAGGATGCATTATCTTTAACTTTTAAATTAAGAAAATTAAGAAAAATTAGTATGTGGTAGAAAATCTCACAGCCCTACCTGTTTTTCTTAGTTCTTCTCCTCAGTCTCCTATTCAACTTTTGCTACAAGTATAAGAGGGTGGAGTAGCAAGAGAGTATGAAGCTTAGCCAAGCTAAGGACTTCCACTCATGAGTGCTATAAAATATCACTGTTTTTCAGGCTCTTAGCATGCACAGTGCCTTGAACATCGAGGAGCTTAATAACTATTGATATTTGCTCTTCTGATGTGATATCAGGTTTCCCTTTTCCCTCAATTTGTTAGAAGATGGAGAACAAAGCACAATCTACTGAAAACAGGAAACTGCCTCTCAGCAAACACTTAAGGAAATAGGTGGCTAAACTTAAATCTGACCCTCAGGGCTCCCAACTGATGAAATATACATTTTACTAGAAGGATTCTGAAAAAAAGTACAAGAATACCAGGAAAATAGAGAATCTTTGAGGTTCTTTTAAAAAAATACATATATATACCCAAATTGCCCAAGGAAAACGCAAAGAAACTGCTTATACTCTACTCTGATAGGATCATTTAAAATGTCTTAAATCTACGTAAATTTTACTTACAAACATTTTCTATTTCTAGGCTCACTTAGAACAGGTAGATATAAATGACCAGTTCACATATGCCTTCTGTACAAGGAATTGTGGCTGTAATAAAATAGGCAGCCAAAGAGAGTGCATTGTGCAAAGTCAATGAGCCAACTTGAGGAATATAACTCTGAAATTAAAAAGTAAAAATATTAGGTAATCACCCTCCCCCCCAAAAAAACGCTGAAAAATGTACCAAGTTGTACCTATATTTCATTAATAACTTACTCTTTCTATGTTACTTTCTAATGATACACCTCGTTGTCTTAACGGAGGATCGCTGGGGGCTGTTTTTTTTCCAGTTTAGTTCTGTTTAAACAAGTAGCAAGTACTGCAGTACCCATAACTATGGGAAAACTGACTATAATCAAGGTATTCTAGAAAATCTAAAGCAACTTGAACAAAATTTCAGGATAAAATAAAGTGCCTAGAAGGTCTTTTAAGCTTGAGCGTACAGAAGAACCACAAATGTCCTCTATACATTTAAAAAATTTTTAATTTAATTTTTATTTTATATAGGAGTATAGCTGATTCACAATGTTGTGTTGTCCTCTATCCTTAAGATCTTTTATGAACTATAAGAGCTGGAAGAATGACAGAAGTAATCTAGTTCATCACCCTTACTGGACAAATATGAAAACTGAAGATTAGTGAAGTTAGTGACTTGCCAAAGTTTACGTTTCATGTTAGGAGAATCAAGATAGAACTCTTTGCACTGTATCACACTGTTTCAAAGAAAACACAATTCAAGAAAGAGGGAGAAGGAATTCCCTGGTGGTCCAGGGTTAAGACTCTGCGCTTCTACCGCAGGGGGGCATGGGTTTGATCCCTGGTCAGGGAACTAGGATCCCGCAAGCTGTGCGGTGTGGCCAGAAAAAAAAAAAGAAAGAAAGAAAGAAAGAGAGAGAAGGAAAAGACAGAGAAAGGGAGGGAAAAACCAAACTACCCACTTGGTGATTTTAAAATTTATTTACTCTAGAGGATGTATTATATTGGTATAGGGAACAAGAGCATAAAAGATTTTTTAAATATACTAAAAGGAGGAGGAAATTAAAGGATCTACTGGGAAAAGAATATGTATTTATAAAAAAAATTTAATAGCTACTATAAAGACTAAAAAATTTTAGGAGTTTTATGGCCAAAAGACTGAATAAGGCTTTAAAATCCATCAAAAGTTTGCATGTTCTGTGACTATACTTGAGTTTTCAAGAAAATTAGTGTGGACATGCAGGTATTCCTAAATTTATCTGGCCTTTGGAGGATATTATACTCCTTGAAAAGGCAAGGGTAAAAATGGGTCTATGTTGGCCACTCCAAGTATGTTCACTCTACCCTGGATGGGCCTCCACCAAAGCACTCCTGAACATGAGCTGCTTCCTTGGACTCTGACACGCTCCTGCTTGTTTCTGGAACCGTAAGAAGAAATCTCTCATGAGAGCCAATAAACTGACATAGTGTTAATAACATATTTTAATCTTGATAAAGAAAGGAAACATATTCTAAATCTGATAAATGTAAAAGAAAGAATTTATTCTGATTTTCTACTACATGATAAAGAAATCTTTTAGTTGCAGCCCAGATCTGCAAACATCTAAAATGTCAGTGCTTGAAGAGGCCATTAGAATTAATACTGTATTCTAATTTTACAGATCGAGCAAACTGAAGCTCAGAGATAGGCAGTAACATGATCAACGCCACACTTCCTTGGAAGCTAATATTTTTTCACATATAGGGTATAAGTACTGAATATAGAAGAAGACTTACTTAGAAAACATTCACACTAATTTCGTCTAGTGAAAGCAGCACATCCTAGACATCTACACGTGTCTAGAAAGATGGACAGGCAGGTTATAGTCACCCAGAAATTCTAAGTTTGTTTCCATGGAGCGGTGAGTTAAGAGTAAATGTTAGTAGGTGTGTAGGAAAAAAGAGTTCATGGTCAAGTAAATTTTGAAAATGATGGGTTGAACAAAGTAAAACAGACTTCTTTATGCCTAACCTGCTCAGAGTGTTTAATACATTAATGTTGACTGAGAATCCCCAAGAGTAGCGTAGCATGTGCTGGGTTTCACAAATTCATTTGGGCCCAAACTTCTTTTTTCTGTTAACAACTCCCTAAGTAGTACCTTAATGAGTACATATTAAGAAATCTTTGCCCATTATCTTTAAACCCAGAAATGAGAAAACTGAGCATTTTCCAATTATAATATGTTACTATCCCTTTTCTTTTTTTTTTAATTTTTAAAAAAATTTTGCCCGCATTGGGTCTTTGCTGCTGTGCACAGGCTTTCTCTAGTTGTGGTGAGTGTGGGCTACTCTTCGTTGTGGTGCGCGGGCTTCTCATCACAGTGGCTTCTCTTGTTGCGGAGCACAGGCTCTAGGCGCGTGGGCTTCAGTAGTTGTGGCACGTGGGCTCAGTAGTTGTGGCGTACGGGCTTAGCTGCTCCGCAGCATGTGGGATCTTCCCGGACCAGGGCTCAAACCCGTGCCCCTGCATTGGCAGGCAGATTCTTAGCTACTGCACCACCAGGGAAGCCCCTACTATCCCTTTTCTATCAATCAAGGTTGCAGCTACTGATAACCCACCCTTGCTCTGTACAATTCAATCAAATCTTACTGGAACAGTGGCAGAATACAGGAATTGGACCACTCTAATCCAGAAAGTCGCTACAAGGTTGAAATGTACTGTTCAGAGTTCAGTTCAATTCAACATGTATTTATTCAATATCTACTATACACATAATTCATAAATTCATCTTTCCAACCATTTATACCTCCTTTTTTCTCTTTTAATGATTTCAACTGTAATAAGTAAGTGAATTTACTGCTATCTCCCTTCTTGGTCCTGCTACATATTGAGCTATTAGCATTTTATTGCCATTTGCATCTAGGGACCATGACTCCTAGGAAAGGAAAGTACAACAGAGAACTAACAGAACAAACATTTTTGCTTTCAGACATATCAATTTTATTTTGAGGTGCTTTCCAACTTACCGATTTTATTTCGAGGGCACCAAAACGTGCATCTGTGTGCTACTACCAAAACTAATTAAAACAATACTTCTTTTCTGGAGTTCATCTATACTCATTCGATCTGAACTGGAAAATTTTCATTTACTAGGAAAGTAGCATTAAAATCACAATGCTGGGCTTCCCTGGTGGCAGAGTGGTTAAGAATCTACCTGCCAGTGCAGGGGACATGGGTTCAAGCCCTGGTCCGGGAAGATCCCACATGCCACGGAGCAACTAAGCCCGTGCGCCACAACTACTGAGCCCACGTGCCACAACTACTGAGCCCGCGCACCTAGAGCCCGTGCTCCTCAACAAGAGAAGCCACCTCAGTGAGAAGCCCACTCACCGCAACTAGAGAAAGCCCACGCGTGGCAACGAAGACCCAGTGCAGCCAAAAGTAAATAAATTAAATAAATAAATTAAAAAAAAATCACAATGCTTTCTTTTGCAGCCAAATAAGTTACAAAACGGAAAAGCTCCTCTCCTCATTAAATATAAATTCTCAGTACCTCTTGAAAGTCATCTGTTCCTGAAAACACATTAGGCCCTTTATTGGCCCTTCCTCCACGGTCTTTGCGTTTGATTTTCTTCGGCAAGCCGCGTCCACGAGCAACATTAAAACTTTTAACCCTCTGTTCAATACCTAAAAAAGTTAAAATGTACTTCAGATAGTTAAAAAAACAGCACACTAGACAATCTACTAGTTTACAGGGAATAGCTTATTTTAAATAGTCTATAATGTACAGTGTATTCTTTTTTTCCCTTTAGATTCAGTGAAAACAATTCAGTCTTTACATTTTACTTCGTGGGTACTGCTCCTTATTGTTTTGTTTCTTAAGGGATGTTAACAACATAAGGAAGGCAAGAAACAAGGACATATACATGGCTGGAGAGGTCAAATCTAGTTTTATTCTTCTCAATTTTCCTTAGAATAAGCAATTAACAATGTTTTCTGTTTTTAAGAGAATTAAATATTACATTCATCTCTAAGGAAGACATTGTAGGTATTCGTGATTAATTTGTGGCAAATTGAGTTTCTACTGATAATGTTGAACAGACATCACATATATCTCCAAGCAAAATTTATACTTGTCTTTTACTTTTGAAAAACTTGATATTTAAAAGTCTCTAAAGAGATACTCAAATGACTAAAATTATATATTAGGGTAGTAAGTTACGATACAAAGTGATTTCTCATTATATCAAAGTCATACTGAACTAATAAGTTTTCTAATGATATTAAACCTACAAAATAGCCAATAGATATATAGAAAAATGTTTCACTTCATTAAAGAAATCAAAGAAATTAAAAATTTAAAGATAACATAACTATTTTCACCTCATAGAATAATGTTGGTAGGGATTTGGAGAAATTGGCATTTGCACACACTGGCAGGGGTGTTATAAATGGCTACATCACCTTTTTGGATATCAACTTTGTATATGGATCAAAAATCTTCAAATGTAGCTATGTCTTTTGACTCAATTCTATATTTCAGCATTTACTCTCAAAAAAAAAAATGTTTGCCAAGATGTGTATAAATATGCAGGGTTAATCACAGAATTTTTAAAAATGGGTGCAACTTAAATCCCAAATAATTACTAACAAACAAACCTAACAGTTTAGTAGACAAATTATGGCATATCTATTTAATTGAATAGAATGTAGACATTAAAATCTACTCATTAACATCAGAATGACTGAGGTACAATTCACAGTTAAGGGAGAAAAACAAGTTATAACAGTGTATATAGTTTTTTGTTAAAAAATAATTGTCAAAAAATTCTAGACGAATGTATACCGGGGAATTCCCTGGCAGTCCAGTGGTTAGGACTCCGTGATTCTACTGCAGGGGGCCTGGGTTTGATCCCTGGTTGGGGAACTAAGATCCCACAAGCTGTGGCACAGCCAAAGGAAAAAAAAACAAAGTATACCAAAAATATTAATAGTAATTGTCTCTGGGAGTAGGGATTCAAACTGCTTTTGTTTTATCTTTGATCTTTGCTGGGTTATCTTTTCTACACATAGAAAAAGTTTTCTACATTTGACCATATATTATTTTCATAATTCTGGGGGAAAAATGAAAGTCAAAATAAAATGCAATACTCAATTCTTTCACAGAACAAACAGAAAGAGTTTGAAAGGAAGAACCCCAGGTGGGAAGGGATGAACAAGGCCTCTACATTCCCCTTATTCCCCAAGTGGAATGATCCCTGACACCACTATGTCTGGACTCCAGGAACAAACTTACTAATTACAATAGCATATGCATAGACAAATTCCTGTCTCTTTAGTTCAACAAAGCCTAGATCCACATTTTTCAAAGGAATTTTGCTTGGAAATCAAGAAAAAATAAAGCCATAAAAATAACCAAATTTACTCGTAACTGATTCCTTTTTTCAATGATAATTAAATGATAGTTACATAGGGCTTGGTGCTCACTACTTCACCTCAGCCTCATCTCGCTCCAGTTTTCTTGAAGCAGACATATTGACTGGACAGTTCTTAAGGCTGATTTGACCCTGATGTTACCCATAATTTCTATGGCAATCTTGTACTGGTCTCTCCAGGGACGATGTACCTCAATATAGCAGATGAATAGGTTATCACTCCAGAAATTTCTTTAGATTATGTTCTTATTTCTGATCCTGAAGGATGTCTATAGTCCTGAGTACATTTACATAGTGAAGATGATCACTACATTTTAAAGCCTAATAAAAGAATAGCTTCCCAGGATTCTGTCCTTAACAGGTCTAAAACATAAAGTAACCCAGAGTAACAGAGACAGCTGAAAAAGGTAGGTTATTTCTTTCAGTATATTGATACCATATAGAAGGGAGGGGAAAAACATAACAGGAAAGTTGTTCTACATTTTTATACACTTTAAAAATATTAAGAAATCTTTTAGATTCAAATTTTAAAATATCATGCAGATTGAAATATTTGTAGATTTTTGTCCTCAAGGTCTACAAATAAAAAAAAAACGAATTCAGGAAGCACAGGAATAAGCTGATCATGAGAAAGGGCAAAGAAATTTAAGATTTTACTTCATATTTACCTGTTTTAATAAGGTTCTCATATTAAAAAACAGACAATTTCAAACTTACCTTGCTGAATCCCTTTCAATCTTTGTTTTTTCCCTGGTTCTTTAGAAAAGGATGATCCTAAAGCAGTATTTGAGGTTTCTTTAGCTTGCCTGTATTGTTTCAGCCGACTGGCAAAATCTTCCTCTGTTTCCTGACTGTAGTTACCAAAGTTGTCATCACTGTAGTTACCAAAGTTATCATCACTGTAGGTACTGTACTCATCATATTCTTTACTTTTAAATTTTCTGTTATGTTGACTCTTCTTTGATGCCATGTAGCTTCCTGATATATGTCCATGCTAAGTGAAAACGCACAACCGTTATCAAGATTTTTCAGTTATATATAGGAATTGATAGTAACACAGGACATCTTTTCCCCCCCAGAAAGCTGGGAGAAAGAAGGGGAAAAGACAGTTATTAGTTCTGCCTCTTGGTTAGAACTTATCTATGGCACTATTTAAAACTAAGTTCAAAAAGCTAAATGCTACTCTGATGTTATTAAACATTATAATGTTCATAGAACATTGCTGGAGAGTGTGTCTTGTTCACTTTTTGTTTTCCATGCCCATGTCTTATGTTTCTCATGCTCCATGCCTCAATATTTATACACATAAGAGTACTTTAAAATCCATACTGTCATACAAAAATTCCGTCTCCAAAAAACTGAAGAGGTCTTTTTGAAAACAGAAAAAAAAAATAGCGAAATAGCTTGGAGCAAGGGTAGAAAATATATAGAGTCTCCTAAGATTCAAAAATTCCCACATGACACGTTTAAGCATATTATATTTAATTAAAAAACTATATGTAAAGTCAAATTTGTAAAAAGAAAATATTTATATTTGAGGTCTAATAGAAAAAACAGAGATTTCCCTAATAGTAAAAAACATCTAATGAATAAATTGCTCATTAGAAACTATTTATTGCACTTATACATTATTAATTTTATTGCTTTTTACTAAAGCATGTAAAAACAAAAAATACATCGTAGTCCTAGAAGTTCATTTAATGATAGTATTCAAGTATATCTCTATTTACTGAAATATTTTTATTACTTCTATCATATCTGTTGTCAATTTTTTTATAAGAAAGCAAGAAAAAAATTGCACATAGGGCTTCCCTGGTGGCGCAGTGGTTGAGAGTCCGCCTGCCGATGCAGGGGACACGGGTTTGTGCCCCGGTCCGGGAGGATCCCACATGCCGCAGAGCGGCTGGGCCCATGAGCCATGGCCACTGAGCCTATGCGTCCGGAGCCTGTGCTCTGCAATGGGAGAGGCCACAACAACTCTGAGGCCCGCGTACCGCAAAAAAAATTGCACATAATTACAGCTTGAGGATCTAGAAAAAGTCAGACCATGACTCATTTTCAGTTTAGTACATTTTAAATGTGATATAAAAATACTGCCCTGGCAGAATACCAACACGAGACTGTGTTTTTAATAAAATGCAGAGAACATACAGAGTGAAGTAAGTCAGAAAGAGAAAAACAAATATCGTATATTAACTCATATATGTGGAACCCAGAAAAATGGTACAGATGAACTGGTTTGCAGGGCAGAAACAGAGACACAGATGTAGAGAACAAACGTATGGACACCATGGGGGGAATGCGGGGGTGGGGGGGCGGGTGGTGGTGGTGGTGGTATGAACTGGGAGATTGGGATTGACATATATACACTAATATGTATAAAACAGATAACTAATGAGAACCTGCTCTATAAAAAATAACAATAAAATAAAATTCAAAAAAAAGTAAAATTCAGAGAAATATTAAGTCCTTTTCAGCAATTATAAAATAGAGAAAAAGTATATAACTAAAGCAATCAAGAAAATCAATTAGCTCATCAGTTTTAAATTTTGAAGACATTATATTAGATTTCCAAATTTTTTTAAGCAACATTTTTAAAGTTTATAAACTGTTCTCAGTCTAGCACTTCAGAAATTCAGAAGGGGATCTACAATTATAGCCAAAAGACTGTTTCTTACATTTAAAAAAAAGCCACTATGAAAATAAAACAAAAAATAATTGCTTTGATTAAGTTGAAGATTTATTAGTTGAGTGGCACTTACATTTCCTTTTATAAAAAATGTGATTACATTAATTCTTCAAAAATATATTTCAATGCCTAATGAGCAAGGATTACTCTCTGTTAATGGGCGAGTACGAATTTTTCTCTAGAGATTAGATGCTTTTCACAAAAGCTTTAAGTCTTAATATTAATCCAATTCTCTGATTTTTCACAGCCTTTACAAAAATAATCTCCATAATTCCTACTTTTTCAAGCAGAATTATCCCTAAACTTTCAATCCATCCCTCCCTTGTTTTCCCAACTGCAAATAATCCTAATAGCCCTCTAATTATGCAAACCTCAGGGCTTCTTCTGCAGTGACAGACTCTAATGTGGCTTGCTGCAGTGCTTAGTGTTTGCATCAGGGCACCACCCATGCGGTGCAAGCTCTCCAGGAAGCGCTAAATGAATGAGGGGTTACAGAGCAGCCCCAGTTCTCTAGGAGAGTATCTCCTCGTGCTTCACATGTTCACCATTTGGAATGAACAAAATGTACTCACCAGCAAGGATCTAGCAAGTATTTTTAAAAGCCCTCCTAAAGATAAAAGAAATGAAAAAGACTATAAATTTTACTGAAGGATATAGTTTCTCCAATCACTTTGCTTATTGATTATTAGGCTATCTACCTGCTAGAATGTCTGTGGGGGCAGATTTGGTTTCTGTTACACAGGCTGTCACTCTAAGCATGAAATAAGAGAACAGGAGACCCTGAACAAGGATGAGGAAAAAGGAGATATATTAAGTACTAATTTAATAGCTAATTTAATAGCTAGATGCTAATACTATATTCTATTGTCGGCCTATAACTGTAGAAGTGTCATACAGTAGATACTCGTTATCTAATCAAATGAGATTTTTAGGATATACTTTCTAACCTCAGTGAGTCAACACTAAACCATATGTGAAGGAAATGATCCTGAACTTTCTCTTCTAATGGCAGACTAGGTAATTTAATTCAGATCAGTCCTCCTCCTAAAAAAATGCAGCAAAGATAGACAAGATATTTCTTTCAGACCACTGTAGACATCAGAGAGCTAACAAATTAGTGAAGGATTACTGAACCGTTTCCCATGGAGTAGATGAAAATCCCCAGAAGTGAGCAGTACTTGGAGCTGTTTTTGCTCTGAAAGCATCAGCCCAGCATGAAAAATCATCTGAAAAGGTTCAACAGCACTTTTGACTATCCTTTCAATCTTTGGGAACAAAAGGAGTCCAGAGTCTGGAAAAAGCGGAAGCCTTAGCGACCCCCACCCACCAGAACTCAGAAAGTCTGGGGTTTTTCAGATACATGCACACTGACCTGAATACTCCTCAGTGCTCCTGAGAGCATCAGGATTTTTCTAGCACAAAATAATATTCAGATTGAAGATTCTGTTCATACAGTGCAACATATTTAAGGAAGACATAAAGTATATCATGTTGTTTTAATTTTTTTTCTGTTTAAAACACATCAAATAATGTTTGCACTTGAAGAGGTAGGTGGCACAAAATTCATATACTGAAGCCCTCACCCCCAGTACCTCAAAATATGACAGTGTTTAGAGAAAGGGCCTTTAAAGAGGTGATTAAGTTAAAATGAGGATGTTAGGGTGGGCCCTGATCCAATTTGACTGCTGCCCTTGTAAGAGGAAATTTGGACACACAGAGACACAAGGAGTCCACGTGCACAGAGTAATGACCATGTGAGGACAAAGCAGCACGAAGGTGACCATCTACAAGCCAAGGAGAAAGACCTAAACAGATCCTTCCCTTGTGGCCCTCAGAGGAAACCAAACCTGCCAGCACCTCGATCTTGGACTCAGATCTAGCCTCCAGACTGTGAGAAAATAAATTTCTGTTGTTTAAGCCACCAGTCTGTGGTATGTTGTTATGGCAGCCCTAACAGACAAATCCATGACATAGTCTTTATTTTCAAAGGTTTAAAATTTGTAGCATATGTCTTATAAAATATTTTTTTAATATCAGAAAGCAAAGAATGAAATTGAAAGTTTAATTTTTCTCTTTAAAAAGCAGTAACTCAAAACCACAGTGAGATATCATTTCACACCAATTAGGAAGGCTGTTATCCAAAACAAAACAAACAAACAAAAACAGAAAATAACAAGCTTGACAAGGATGTGGAGAAATCAGAAAAATCTCATGCATTGTTGGTGGAAATGTAAAATGGTGCAGCCTTTGTGGGAAACAGTTGGTAGTCCCTCAGAAAGTTAAATGTAGAAATAACATATCATCAAGTAATTCCACTCCTAGGTCTATACTCCAAAGAATTGAGAGCAGGGTCTCAAAGAGATACCTATACACCCACGTTCATAGCAGCATTATTCACAATGCGCAAAAGGTGGAAGCAATCCAAGTATCTATCGACAAAATGTGGTATATACATATAATTGAGTACTATACAGCTTTGAAAAGGAAGGAAATTCTGATACGTACTACAACACAGATGAACCTTGCAAAAATTATGGTAAGTGAAATAAGCCAGACACAAAAGGACAAATACAGCATGATTCCACCTATATGAAGCACCTAGAGCAGGCAAATTCATAGAGATGGAAAGTAGAATAGTGGTTACCAGGAGTGGAGGGAGGGGGAAATTAGGTATCATTGCTTGATAGGTACATGGCTTCTGTTTAGGAAGATGAAAAAGTTTTGGAAATGGACAGAGTGATGGTTGCACAACATCATAAATAAACTTAATGTCACTGAACTGTATATTTTAAAATGGTGAAAATAGTGAATTTTTCCAAAGACATACAAATGGCCAACAGACACATGAAAAGATGCTCAACATCACTAATCATCAGGGAAATGCAAATCAAAACCACAAGGATAGGGCTCCCCTGGTAGCACAGTGGTTAAGAACCCGCCTGCCAATGCAGGGGACACGGGTTTGAGCCCTGGACCAGGAAGATCCCACATGCCGCAGAGCAACTAAGCCCATGTGCCACAACTACTGAGCCTGCGCTGTACAGTCCGCAAGCCACAACTACTGAGCCTGCATGCCACAACTACTGAAGCCCGTGTGCCTAGAACCTGTGCTCCACAACAAGAGAAGCCACCGTGCACCGCAATGAAGAGTAGCCCCCGCTCCCTGCAACTAGAGAAAGCCAGCACACAGCAACAAAGACCCGATGCAACCAAAAATAAGTGATTAATTTTTAAAAAGCACAAAAACCCACAAGGACATATCACCTCACACCTGGCAGAATGGCTATCATCAAAAAGACAAGAAATAACAAGTGTTGGTGAAAATGTGGAGAAAAGGGAACACTTGTACGCTGTTGGTGGTAATGTAAATTGGTGCAGCCGCTGTGGAAAACAGTACAGAGGTTTCTCAAAATATTAAGAATAGAACTACCAAATATCCAGCAATTCCACTTTGGGGTATTTTCCCAGAGAAAATAAAAACACTAATTCGAAAAGATATATGCACCCCTATGTTCACTGCTGCATTGTTTATAATAGCCAAGATATGGAAGCAAGCTAAGTGTCCATTAACAGATGAACGGATAAAGAAGATGCAGTATATATATATATATATATATATATATATATATATATATATAT